AGACTCCTTCCTTTTTAAAGGCCGAGTAGTACTCCATTGCATGTCCAAACTGCATTGTTTATTCATTCATTCATCAGTGGACACTTGAGTTGCTTTCATCTTGTGGCTATTGTAAACGATGCTGCTGTGAACGTGGGTTAGAAATATCTGTTCGAATCCCTGCTTTCAGTTCTTTTGAGTCTCTACCCACAAGTGGAATTGCTGAATCATATGGTGATTCTGTGTTTACATTTCTAAAGGATTTTTTTTTTTTTTTATCCTCATTCGAGGACATTTTTCCATTTTTTGTACAGACAGAGTGGGAGGGAGAGAGAGGAAGAGAGAGAGAGGGAAACATCGATGTGAAAGGGACACATCGAGTGGCTGCCACCCGCACGACCAACCAGGGCCGGGGACAAACTGCAACCAAGGTACATGCCCTTAGCGGGAACCGAACCCGGGTCTCTCCGGACCGCAGGTGGACGCTCCAACCGCTGAGCCAAACCGGCCAGGGCTCTAAAGGATTTTTTTAAAAAACCATTATTGTCCTTGAGGTGTCAGAAAGAGATGTGACCTGGCCACTGACTAGGGGGAACCACACCTCAACCCCTGCTCCGACTCACTCCTCCTGCCTTTCCTCTCTCTTGCGTCAGAGAATAGATTTGCAGAGTGCTGGCACTAGGACTGCTAAGCCAACTTCCCTGAAGAGGGAGAGGTTTCAGATTTCACTGTGTACATCCCTTTTCCACACTAAGCCAGCTGCTGTCTGCAGAGCTCGGCCCGCATCGGCCTCCCTCTCCTCCTTCCCGGCTGGTTCGCTGTTCAGTTGATCCTCCTTCATCTCCCTGAGCCTCCTGTAGCCACGGGGTCCCAGCCCCACACCCTCGGCTCTCCAGCGTTTGGTTTCAGCTTTGGGTAGAGCTTTGCAGGAAGTGCTCAGCTGCTTCGACCACCAGGTCTCCAGTGCTCCCCGAGGTATCGAGGTGTCGAGGCCCAGAGAGCGTTTCCCCACTGGGCATTCCTGGTGAAGAAGGGGAGAATAAGCCTCTTTCTTGCTTTGCTCTGGTTCTTGGGAGACAGCGGTCTGAGTTAGCTGGGACAGTGGCCTGAAGCCCTCAGATGGACTGCAGCAGAGATGACTGGCCGTCAGTTACTCAGACATGGTTTGGGGAGGTGCACACACATTGGAGCAACACCTGGGACCCTAGCTAACCAGACCCTCATAATTCTCCAGCGAAGTTTGGCTGTAAAACCTGGTCCCTCAGTCTCACCTGGTGAAGGTGGAGTGTCCATATTTGTCAGTTGATGGCCCACACGACACTGACCAGCAAACCCTTGCGGGACACTTGGTTCTCATACCAGGTTTTCACCAGGACATCACTAAGCCACCACATTGTTTCACAAACATAAAATGTTGCAGGTCCTCTAGAGTAAGCAAGCCCTGGGGCCCCAAGTTAAGTTCTCACTGGGGAGTTACTCAGTGTTGATTTGACTTTGGATGTGAGCTCTGTGTAGTCACCAGCCTGGAAATCAGGTAAAGACAATGAAGAATATGTTGACTTTTGTTTGTTGTTGTTAATCCTCAACTGAGGATATTTCTCCATTAATGTTTAGAGGGAATAGAAGGGAGGGAAGGGGGAGAGAGAAAGAAAAACGTAGATGTGAGAGAGACACATCAGTTGGTTGCCTTCTGCACACCAAGGCACGTACCCTTGCTCTAATCATCACTGAGCCAACCTGGCCAGGACAATGTGTTGACTTTTTAAAATTTGTTATTTAATCTGTAACAAAAATAAATTAATTAAGTTTAAAAAAAAAAAAAAAAGTAAAATTTGTTATTTAAAAAAGTAAAAATAACCTGGCCGATGTGGCTCAGTGGTTCAGCATTGACCCCTGCACCAGGAGGTCGCTGGTTCGATTCCTAGTCAGGGCACATGCCCAAGTTGTGGACTCAATCCCTGGTGGAGGGCGTGCAGGAGGCAGCCAATGGATGTTTCTCTCTCACATAGATGTTTCTATGTCTCTCTCCCGTCCTCTCTCTCTAAAAAATCAATAAAAACATATTTAAAAAAGAAAAAGTTCATAGGTTCTTAGAAAGAGTGGACGCTGATAATTCTGAGCTAATGTTACAGCTGACCCAGAGGAAGCATGAGGAGCAGAATGAGAGAGCCGTGAGGAGGGGATTCAGGAGGTAGGGTGAGCATGACTGACAACACTGAAGGGTGACAATAGTCCTGGCTGGGTAGCTCAGTTGGTTGGAACACCGTCCCAATATGCCAAGGTTGTAGGGTTGATCCCCGGTCAGGACACGTGCAAAAATCAAGCGATGAATGCATAAATAAGTGGAACAACAAATTGCTGTTTATCTCTCTCTCCCTCTCTCTAAAATCAAATTTGTAAGCCCCAGCCGGTTTTGCTCAGCGGTTAGAGCATTGGCCCGCGGACCAGAGAGTCCCAGGTTCAGTTCCCGCTAGGAGCACGTACCTCATTTGCAGTTTGTCCCCGGCCCCGGTTGGGTTCGCGTGGGTGACAGCCTGTCGATGTGTCTCTCTCACGTCGATGTTTCTCTCTTTCTCTTCTTCTCTCTCTCCCTCCCGCTCTATCTGAAGATAAATGCAAAAATGTCCTCAGGTGAAGATTTTAAAAAACTTTTTTTTTTAAGAGTGGCAATGACATTTTAGAGCTGAGTGGTCCGCTAGCAATCACCTAGTTCATTTTAAAGTCAGGACAACTGAGACGTGGATGGCTTGAGTGACTTGTACGAACTCTCCCAGGTGAGACCAGAGCTTCCCTTCTGAGAAAGTCCCACCTGAGCTCTTGGAGCCGGCCCACCTGCCCCACCTGGAGGCCAGTAGAGCAGAGACCCTGTGGCCCAGGGAGACCTGGGGCTGTGGGGACTGCCCGTCCAACAGCTGAGGCCTCCTGCCTGGCCCGGGCTGCATTTGGAAGCAGCGCCTGTGGTGGGCTTGTTCCCAGTGGGGGCTTCTGCGACATGGGGTTCATGTCCTGGATGTTAAGTGCATAAGAAGGCCTCTGTGTTCGTTTTATTTATTTTTTTAATCTCTGATTCCCCAAAAGGAAGTGGAAGCTGAAGTCAGATCCGTTTTTCAGGGTGGGGCACAGGGTGAGGGTTCTGTCTTAACTGGGTTTTGTGTTTTTTAATATTTGGCCCCTCCCCGGCTGTTCTCAGGGATGTTGGGTGAGAGCTAACTTTTGAGAGGAGGAGGCAGAACTTGACTGTGGCCTCTGACTGTCTTGCAAGGACAAGACAATACCCACAGGCCAGTGGGCTGAGCGTTGATTCCAACATGGTGGTTGTGGTACCTTTGATGACCTTTCGATGGCCCGTAGATTAAGGAGACCGGGGTACCTCTGCACAGCTTGTTAAGGGACTCGGCAGGAGGCCACCCTGCTCTTTGGGTCCCCCATCCCCATCTGCTACTGTCAACCTACAGGAGGGCCCCAGCAGAGGCAGAACCTAGCCTGGCCTTGCAGTCGGTGCCTGTGTGCAGATGTGGGACCTGGGTGGGTCTGTGTGGCGCCCAGCGCCGTGCCAGACGCCAGATTGGAGTGGTGCAGTGGGTCTCAGCTCTGGCTGCCTCCTAGAAACCCCAGGGGAAGCCTTCATAGCCATGGGGCTCAGGCTGATCCAAGGACTGTTTCAGTTGGTCTGTGTTGGACCTGGCTACGTCGTTTTTGAAGCTCCCTAGGTAATGCTAACGTATAGCCAGGGGTTAGGACATCTGTTAGGCGGCATCTGACCTGCTAGGAGGAAGAGAACCTGAGAGTGGCAGAGGCATGGGAGGAAGCTGAGACTTTGGCCATCTGGGGGAACCTGACGCTTGGCAGACCCTAGCACACTGGTAGCCATTCTTAGCTTGCAGTGACCACCAGGTCACTCCAGCCACAGCTTCTCCCAGCTGTGCATGTGGAACACTGAAAGTGGACCCCTCTGGTATTGCTGGGTCAGCTCCGAAGTCTGTGGGTGGCCCCTGACCACCTGGCCTGGGTGGTCCGGGCACCGCCAGCACCCGGAGCCTGAGTCCCAGAGTGGGTGTGTCTGGTGGTGGAAGTTGTAAGCTGGTGAGTGAACACTGCAGAGGCTGCCTGTGGCGATGACCTTTAGGTGGGGCTGCTTGCAGGTGAGTCAGGGTGAAAGTGATGTCATCTGGTTGACATCCCCCAATCAGCGTGACCTCTTGGAAATCCTGTTGTAGACTGTGACAGTGCCCTTTGGAAGGAGTCCAGGAGTGGCCCTCGTGTGAGACTTGGAGCAGGCTGGGCCTGTGGGTTGATGTCCTGGTGAGGGGGCTGGGAACAGCTACAGAAAGACCAGAGGGTGTGGCTTTATGATTTAGCCAGGGAAGAAGGGAGTTTCTGTCTTCAGATGGGAGGTGGGCATTACTCTCTGTAACTAGATAGTTCCAATAGCAGGGGGCATGTTGTAGGATAAGCCATTCTTTGTCCTCATAGGCACACTCTGATTGGGATAAAGGTGGTCTGGGATTTTGCCAGACCATTTGGAAGGTGGGCTGTGAGTCAACCGAGGGTCAGGCTGCAGCATTCCTTCCATGGCTGAGCTGGGCAGATGTGGGCACTGCTTGTGGTGACCATGGCTTGCACCCGGGCCGCTGTGCTGGCCTGTGCACTTCACCCCATCACATCCCCACGGACAGGTGTATAATTACTCTTCCTGATAGCAAGACACTCGAATTTGGGGTCTACCTTTCTGTGATGGCTCAGGCCCCCCTCCTGGAATAAGGACAGATGTGTCCCAGACAGCATGAGAAAGCCCTGTCTCATATAGTCTGGGGAGCAAGCTGCTATTCCGTCCCCTCCTCCCCTGGGGTCTTTGGCCAGTCAGTTGTGAAGATGAGGTCAGTGTACCTAAGGTCGCTGTTTGATGCCTGCAAGTGGCAGATGGTGGCACTGCTGGGACAGGTGGGGTGTAGACAGCCCCAGGCAGATAACTCTTTAGCCCCCTCCCTGTCTCTAACACAGCTGCTTCTCTGCACCCGCAGATACATCCTTTGGAACACCACCTGGGTACGGCTGTGCCGCAGACCGGGCGGAGGAGCAGCGCCGACACCAGGACGGACTGCCCTACATCGATGACTCCCCCTCCTCCTCACCCCACCTCAGCAGCAAGGGCAGGGGCAGCCGGGATGCACTGGCCTCCGGAGTCCTGGAGTCCACCAAAGCGGTGAGTCCCAGGGCAGCAGGCCAGGTGTGAGATGGGGCTTGGGCTCAGCTCCAGGCCAGCTGTCCTTGTCCCCAAGACTCCCTGAAGGGCAGCCACTCTGCTCGGGGGCAAGTCGCAGGTTAAGTGATGGAGCAGCCAAGGTTGGATGTTGAGTCCCTAAAGCTCCTTTCTCATTTCTTCATCTGGGGCACAGGGACCACCTGCTGGGTGCATGGAGCTGTCAGCTGAGCGTGGAGGAAGCAGGCAGCTCCAGCTGAGGGCCTGCGGGCGTGGCCCAGCAGTGGTGCCCAGCAGGGGTGATGTCCAGACTCCTGTCCCTGCACTCCACAAAATACACTTGCTCTCTTTTACTAAAGGGGATGCTAATGATGACCCAGTCCATCTGACCATGGTCCTTCCCTGAGGTCTCATGGTCATTAACGGTCCTGCTGCCACTTCCACTTTGCTGGTGTGGCGCCGAGGCCCCGAGGTCCCATGGCGAGTGCGAAGTGGCACATTCAGCAGATGCCCTGCTGTGTGCTTGTAGAAGCCCGTGGGCTGGCCCTTCTCTGGTGGGCACCTAGCCCCGGGTTGTCCCAGAGCTGGTGTGCTGGCCCAGCCTGGCAGAGTCCTCTGCTCTCTGCGGTTTTGTGGCTCACGAGAGCACCTTCTTGGTGTATTAGGGCCCAGACGTGTACCCCTGGCTTTGAGGCCAAAGCACCCCTTTGACCTCTCAGGTTCCTTTCTTCTAAAGAAGATCCCTGCCTCTGGGGCAGATAGCACTTCTGTCTTTCTGGTCCTTTTGCTCCTGAATACAGGTACCTTCCCCTTTCTGCTTAGCTTGTTTCTGTGTGATTTCCACCCCAGGTTTAAAACGAGAGGCATCTGCTTTTCCTGCCGCTGCAAGGAAGAGCTAGAAGTGTTGTGTCTTTCCTCTGCTGTTGCTCCTCTGGGCTGGCGCCTCAGCCGCAAGACTGTTTTTGAGATTTCTAAAGCCCTCGGTTCTGGGCAGGCTTCTCATTCTGTAACATGAAGACGGGTGGGGAGACCAGCGTGTAACACACACCTGCCCCATGTGGCTTCTTGTCTAACATCCAGTTTCACAATTTTACAGGGTCAAAGAGGTGAAGCCAAGGGTCAAAGAGGTGAAGCTACTTGCTCAAGGCCACACAGCTATCAGATTCTGATGGTTTCCCTCAGCTTCCTTGCGTTCTTGGTATACTCCCTTTCTTCCTGCTTTGGAAGTGTGGTTTGATACAGACCTTAGGACCCTTCGGATCCTTAGGGTCCTGAATAAGTAGGTGGAGTCCTAAACCTGGGACAGGTCCCCCCTGTCTGTCCACTGTCTCTGAGGGCTGTTTTAATTTGGCAGGACCTCGCTCTACCTCCAGGCCCCTTGAGGAGACTGCGCTGTGCTCCCTAGGTCCCCGGCCCTGTGTGACTTGGTCACCCATTCCCGGCCTTCTGCCCTCTTACCCTCATCCACACTGACTTGGAGACACTGGGAAGAGCAGGCTTTTTGCAGGCCATTTCTATGACCACTGCCCATCTCCCTGGGGGGACAAAGCTGGCACCACTGTCGCACATGAAGCAAAGCAGTGTTATGGGCTCTCCTGGGAGTCTGGGGCCAGAGCTGCCACCTAGCTAGTGACCTTTCTTCAGCAGGGAAAAGGATTAGGGTCTGGGCATCACCCCAGCTACTAAGTCAGCATGGTCAGTCCTTCCTGGGGTCCGCAAGTGTTGTGGCAGCATCTCATCCACTCATAGGGTGGACATCGAGGCATAGAGAGAGGAGCTGACATTGTTGAGCAGCCCCTGCTCACCAGGCTCCTTGTGACACGATGTGTGACTTTGCTCCTCACAGTGACCTCCTGGGCCCTGTCCTTGGGGTACCAGCAGGGGGCAGGTCCAGAGACAGCAGATTTAGCTAGGAGAGGCAGACGCGACCCCAGCCCATATTCTCTCAGGTTCAGGGGCCCTTCAGTGAGTGGCGGAGCTGGATGGGCCTCGAGAGCATGTTGCTTGAGTAAGTCCTGCAGAAGTGGCTGGGCCTGTGCGCTACCTCGGCAGGTGGCTGGCAGGGGTTTTTGTTGTTTTTCTTGGTTTGTTTTTTTTTATTTTTTTATTGAGGAAGCCACAGTAAATGCATATATTCAATTGATCACCCTACTCAGAAGTCGGTTTTACATTTTTACAAGGGAACTAAAAGCTGGCTCAGGGATGTTTGAAGACTAACACCTGCTTTATAATTTTGCTCCTGGCCATCCCCACACTCTGTATCTGTATCTGGTCAACGATGGTGTCTGGAACAGAAATTATAACTCTAACTTGTGCTTTCATCTGAGCAACCACAAGTTTGTTCACAGTTATGGTTCACTTGTCATGGACGCCTTGTTCGGGTTCCCCAGTGAGGCTCTGCGCCAGGCGCAACAGGACACGTCACCATGTCCCTGAGGCTCGGCTCAGCCACGTTATCCAGCTCTGAGACCCCAATTTAAATAGGGATAGTGGTTGCCTTCACCTGTCTTCTCTGCGAAGTCGGGGAAATCAGGTAGTCGGTGCCAGCCCAGCCTGTTCCCTTCTCTCCGCAGAGCTGCTGAGTTGGTTTATTAGAGGGTGGGCACAGGAATCATGCCTCCTGCCCTGCTGCTCCGGCCTCTATTTGGAGGACTGGGGCTGCCCCACCAGCATATGGCCCTGTGCAGAGGCTGACTCCTGCCCCCTGCTGGCTGGGCTCCAGGCCAGTGTCCAGCCATAGCTCCTGCCCACAATTTTGTCCAGCAGCTATGTGCCGGGGGCAACTGCCCCTCATGGCTGGGCTTGTGTGCCCTGATCACCCGGCTACCCCAGGTTGGGGGTGAAGGGTGCTCCTCCATCTTTCGCTGCTGCTCACATTCCTGCGGGTGTGTTTCAGCTCGGCCCTCAGCTCTCCTTGTGGGCCTGGCAGCTGGCTCATAGGTGGTGGTTCTGGTCACCTGGGTCCCTCGGTCCACTTTTCCCGCCTGTTATCAAGCCCAGTTCATTTGTATCTGCTCTTCTAGCCTCCAGTTTGAGTGGCTTGTTCCCTGCCCTGTCCCAGCCCCCTGCCTCCTCCGGGCAGCAGTAGGAAGCCTTCCTTCCCAGCTGCCCTTTCCCTCAGATTCCTCCCACTGCAGTGTGCCCGCCGTCAGGGCCCTGCCTGACTCACGTGCCCTTTCCAGAGCTGGCACGTGTGCGGGTGGGGCTCCACATCGCCCCGGTCCTGGCACTGTCCCTGCGCTCCTCTTCTGCGTCTCCCTCCCGCCCTCTCTTCTGCGAGGGGAAGTTGGCCGGTGTCCCAGCGGTGCCTGTCTGATGCCACCAGCGCTGTTCGGAAACTCAGGAGAAGACTCTCAGTCTGAGTATCGGTGCCTGTGCAGCCCAGCACAGTCCCCGGGCCAGATGTCCCCTTGGGCTGGCTGTGGCCTTCAGGAGAGGGAGGGCTAGCCTCGACGCCGTCCTGCCTGCCCCCTTTCCTCCCGGTTTCCCAAACCCAGTGGGCGGGAACGAGGCACATCACACTCACCCCCTCACTCCTGCTCCCTGCACTCACAGTGGCAGGATTGTTTCTCAGAATATGTGGCGGGGTGGGTGGCTGCCTCTGCCCTGCACCTTCACCTCTTCCCTTGCTTGGGCAGAGGGCACCCAGACATGGTGGGAGGCACGTGCCGGGTTAGCTGAGAGCTGCTTCCCCCAGGCACTGGTGGCCTTGGTGAGCTGACTTGAGAGAAGGTGTCAGGGTCCCCCAGCCTGCTGGTCTGTGCTCCTTTGCTCCGGACCTTCTGTGTCCCGGTAGCACCCCGGGCCCCGGAGCAGGCTGCACTGACAGTCCTGGATCCCAGGACCTGCTTGTCTCACAGATGAGGGTCCAGAAGGAAGCCTCAGCTTTGTAAGGACGGGGCCCAGACTGGGCCCAGCATGGCCTTCTGGATCCATTCATTGATTTGCTGGCTCATGAATCTTCATCGAGCACTTGCCTTTCCCAGACACTGTACTGGCACAGGGAGCTTCCAGATCAGGCACAGAGTGTCCCGGAGGCTCCCGCCTGTGAGCCACCGCCCAGTGTGCTCAAGGAGGTGGCTGTGCGGTATGAGACCTGGGTGTCGTTCCCTGGAGTGGCTCTCGGCCAAGACTGTAACGGCTGATTCCTATACCAGTGCACGCACACACACACATGCACCTAGCTCACACACCCAGGAGACTCCCAAAGCAAGCTGGTGGTCCAGGAAGGCTCTTTGAATGTTCCCAGTGGGCAGCAAGGGTGTGGTACAAGCCCCAGGGACACAGAAAGCAGAAGTGGATGGGACACAGGGACTGGGCCCCCTTCCCCAGTTTACACCCAGGCAGCCGAGGCTCGGGGCATAGGGAGCTCACCTGGTAGGCCTAGCCTGTACCTGACTCCTGGCCCTAGGTGCTTCCTGCTGGGCCTGCTATCTTTACCACAAAGTGCCTGCGTCCCACCAGGCTAGGAAAGTTGAAAGGGACATTAGGGCTGGGGGCACAGAGGAGCCACACTGCTGGTCCTGATTCCAGACTCTCTGGTGACACTGTGAGGCCCTAGCTGGCCTCAGTCAGGTTTTTCCTTGAAACCAGCATCTCTCACCTGGCGTTGAATTGGGCCCCAGGGGACGTGTGGCAACATCTGCAGACATTTACAGCTGTGTTCTGCCGGCATGTGGTGGGCAGAGGCCAGAAATGCTACTCCACACCCAGCAAGGCACAGGAGGGCCCCCTCTTCCCAAGAGACTCCTCCAGCCCCAGATGCCAGGGGTGCTGAGGGCCAGGAGCCTGCCCCCAGTCAGGGTTGTCCCTGAGAGGTTTGGGGGAGTGAGTGACTGAAGGGGCCGTGTTCCAGTTTCACGCACAAGGGCTGCCATGGCGGGGGTTGTCTCACGCCGCTCTATGGGCTGGGAAACCTGATGGCGGAATAGGTGGGCTAATATGTCACCTTCTGTAAATGTAGGGCCCCTCCCCACTTGGGGTCTCTGGGACCACAGTGGGGACTGGCCAACTCTAACACCAAGGTTTTCCCCACCCCCCTGGGGTCAGGGAGCAAGGTCGGTAGTGGGCAGGCAGTCACATAGCAGTTTTCATCGCCTTTAGCATCATCGCCTGCATGAGTTTCCTGGGGTGGCATAGCAAAGTACCGCAGAGCAGGAGAGCTTAAACAACAGAGATTTGGTTCTCATGTTTCTGGAGTCTGGAAGTCCAAGCTCAGGGTGTTCACGTCAGGGTTTTTCTCCTGAGGCCTCTCTCCCTGGCTTAGAAATGGCTGTCTTCTCCCTCTGTGTACGTCTGCACCTTACTCTCTTATTTTATATGTTGAGATACTGACATATTATATTAGTTGCAGGTGTGCACCATGATCTGAGCTATGTGTGTATTTTGAAGTGATCACGATAATAAGTCTAGTGAGCCCTGGCTGGTTTGGCTCAGCGGTTGGAGCATCAGCCTGCGGTCCGGAGAGACCCGGGTTCGGTTCCCGCTAAGGGCACGTACCTCAGTTGCAGTTTGTCCCCGGCCCTGGTTGGGTCATGTGGGTGGCAGCCACTCGATGTGTCCCTTTCACATCGATGTTTCTCGCTCTCTCTCTCTCTCTCCCTCCCACTCTATCTGAACAAAATATCGATGAAATGTCCTCAGGTGAGGATAAAAAACAAATAAATAAGTCTAGTGATCCCATCACCTCACATAGTTCCAGATTTCTTTTTTGATACAAACCTTTAAAATCGACTTTCAACTATACAGTCCAGTATTATTAACTGTAGTCACCACGCTGCACGTTACATCCCCAGGACAATTTTTTTTGTAAGTGGAAGTTTATACCTTTTGACCACCTAATCCCTTTTTTTTTTTTTTTTTTTAAATCCTCACCAGAGGACATTTTTCCATTTTTTACTCAGATAGAGTGGGAAGGAGAGAGGAAGAGAGAGAAACATCGATGTGAAAGGGACACATCGAGTGGCTGCCACCCACACGACCCAACCAGGGCGTGGGACAAACTGCAGCCAAGGTACATGCCCTTAGCGGAAACCGAACCCGGGTCTCTGTGGACCGCAGGCTGATGCTCTAACCGCTGAGCCAAACCGGCCAGGGCCCTAATCCCTTTTTATTTATTTATTTATTTATTTATTTTTTTCTTATCCTCACCCGAGGACATTTTCCATTTTTTGTACAGATAGAGTGGGAGGGAGAGAGAGGAAGAGACAGAGAGGAGAGAAACATCGATGTGAAAGGGACACATCGAGTGGCTGCCACCGCACGACCAACCAGGGCCGGGCACAAACTGCAACCGAAGTACGTGCCCTTAGCGGGAACCGAACCCGGGTCTCTCCGGACCGCAGGCCGATGCTCTAACCGCTGAGCCAAACCGGCCAGGGCCCTAATCCCTTTTTAAAGGACCCCAGTCATCTTAGATCAGGGCTCACCATAAAGATCTCATTCTAACTTAGCTACTTCTTTTAAGTCCGTAACTCCAAATGCAGTCCTATTCTGAGGGGCCGGCGGACACATTGCAGTGCGTGGTAGTATCACGTCTGGGTTTGCAGTAAGTCTTCCAGCTGTGGGCTCTGTGTACCCCTACATCAGCATCCCGCGACAGGCAGCTCTGTCTTAGGGCAAAGGCAGTAGAGCTGTATTGACAGGAGGGGGACCTTTCTGTAGCCCACCCACTAGAGGGTCCCTGCCAACAGAATCAGAACAGTAGGCTTGAGAGACAAAGGTGCTGAGCCCAGGGAACAGGGTTCCCCTCAGGCAGGTGGCAGCAGCCTCTAGCTCCGCCCCTGAGGCCAGGAGGCAGGAGGCAGTGCTGCCTGGCTCTTTGGTCCAAGGGTCAGGTGATAGTGGCAGAGATCCTGGGCAAGGAGTGACAAGCAGCAGAGGGAATGGGGTGGCTGTGTGGTGAGTTCCGATGCCCCCTTGGCACAGCCTCTCCGGAGCCACCACTCCTCAGTTACAGGCAGAAGGTGTGGAGGGAGGCCTTGCCCGGTTGCTCAGCTCCAAACTTCCCACTGTCAAGACCAGCGATAGCTCTCAGCTTTCCTGGATGACCCTTCAGAATTTACAGTGACTACGAGCGAGTGGCTGATGGGCCAGGGTTGCCATGACTCCCTTTGAGTCCACCTGGAGCGTTCTCGGAGGCTCGACCGCAGGTTGACCAGCCAGCCTCCCCCTCTAGGACAGGCCACCTCAGGCATCGTCTCCCAGGTCTGACTTTTATCTCTTTCTCCTACAGAGTGAGCTGGACTTGGAAAAGGGCTTGGAGATGAGAAAATGGGTCCTTTCTGGAATCCTGGCCAGTGAGGAGACTTACCTGAGCCACCTAGAAGCGCTGCTGCTGGTAAGGAGGGTCCAGGGGGCTGTGTGGGGCGGGGCAGGGCACCGGGAGCTCTCTGCTCACACAGCCCGGGCCGAAGGTCAGCTGGCAGAGCTGGGGGCACCCACTGCTTGGAGTCATTGAGACACCTGTGGGAGGGTCAGAACACCCCACCTGTGTAGACGCTAGAGCTCCCCAAGGGGCAGTGGGTAGCAGCATGAGACAGGTGCCAGAGCAGGCTGACTGTAAACGTGTATGCTTTATGGAATTTAAAAATAGCCCTGGCCGGTTTGGCTCAGCGGTTAGAGCGTCGGCCTGCGGTCCCGAGAGACCCGGGTTCGGTTCCCGCTAAGGGCACGTACCTCGGTTGCAGTTTGTCCCCGGCCCTGGTTGGGTCGTGCGGGTGGCAGCCGCTCGATGTGTCCCTTTCACGTCGATGTTTCTCTCTCTCTCTCTCTCCCTCTCACTCTATTTGAACAAAAATATCAAAAAAATAAAAAATAAAAGCACATGTCACATAAACCAAGATTTTCTGTGGCTGTACCCTGCACCTGACAGATGACACCACCTCACCTGTCACCCCTCACCTGTGCCCTCCCCCAGCCCATGAAGCCTCTGAAGGCTGCCGCCACCACCTCTCAGCCAGTGCTGACCAGCCAGCAGATCGAGACCATCTTCTTCAAAGTGCCTGAGCTCTACGAGATCCACAAGGAGTTCTACGACGGGCTGTGCCCCCGCGTGCAGCAGTGGAGTCACCAGCAGCGAGTGGGCGACCTCTTCCAGAAGCTGGTGAGTGACGCGGAGCAGGTGCACAGCAGCCTGCCGGGAGCTTGGGGCTGCGGAGGTGGCTGGGTGGGGGCCCGGCCTCTTGGAGACCTGCAGGTGTATGCTGCTGAGGGTTCTTGAGACACTAGGGTGACGGTGTCAAGTAAGAGTGTGGGGTGTGCCTCACTACTTCAGATGACAAAGGTCAGGTCTCAGGTGGGGCTCTGCCACAGCATCTGGACCCTAGCACGAGGCCCACCCCTGGTTTCATCAGTCTGGGTCCTTCTGGGTTCTGCTTGGTATTACTCCAGGTTCCTGGTCTCCACGCTGGTCCAGCTGCCCACTAAGAGCCCCTTTGGGCCTAAAAGATGCTGCTGACCAGGAGAGCAGGACACATGGATACAGGCAGGGGTGGGGCGGAGCCTGGAGGGGCAAGCACAGGTGGGAACAGAGCGGGGGGTTATTGTACTTTATTTGATTTTTGCAGTTATCTGAATTAAAGGCCCTTGAATCACTTGACTTGGTCAATGACAATCAAGGTGGTGAGAAAGAAAAGTACCCTTGATCCTGAAGGAGGGCCCTGGCAAAGAAAAGTGGTAAAAGATAAAATAAAGACCATCCGAGAGCTCCCCGGGGCGGCCTGTCAGAACCTGGAAGCATGTTGAATGCTGGAGACTGTCAGTGATACCCTGTTCCCTGCTGGAGTCAGGACTCGTCCTTGTGGACAGGCCGGAGAAAAGCAGGAGGGGCTGCTCTGTACACGGGGAGTGTGGACCGACGGACAGCCTCCGCTCTGAGTCAGTCTGGTTCCTGAGTAGTGGGCCTCGGCTCTGATCAGGGGTACGAGGGGAGCCCATGGGGGCCCCATCTCACCTGAGCTGAGGCAGCCCTGGCAGGCAGCTCCCGCATTCACCGTCATGCAGACAAGGAGACAGGAAGGGTCTCCTGCCTGGACTGGAACCCTGGTTGTCTGTCTCCGAGAAGAGAGTGATCCCCCCGCCTTCAGGAGCCATAGAACTGGGTGGGGGGGGGGGGTGACAGAATGACAGAATAAGGACTTCTGAAAGGCTCGGTGGGCCACAACTGGCCACAGATCCCTTTGGCAGAGGTGTCCACGGTGAGTCACAGGATGGGGGAGGCCCCCGTGAAGGCAGGTCAGGGGCCTCTCTGACCTTCACTGACCACAGGGCCTGACAGAAGCCAACGATGCGGCTTTTAAAGTCAGTGGGTATGCCCTGGCCGGTTTGGCTCGGAAGTTAGAGCGTTGGTCCGTGGACCAGAAAGACCCGGGTTTGGTTTCCGCTAAGGGCACATACCTTGATTGTAGTTTGTCCCTGGCCCTGGTTGGGGATGTTTCTCTCTCTCTCTTCCTTTCTCTCTCCCTCCTGCTCTGTCTGAAGATAACTGCAAAAATGTCCCCTGGTGAGGATTAAAAAAAATAAAATAAAAAAATTAAGTCAGCGGGCAAAATCTGGCGACCAGAGGGAAGGGCTTGTGGGCCCCTTGGTGCTGGCCAGGCCACACCTGGGGCAGGGGTTGTGTGCGGATGCACGCTGAAGTGAGGTGTGGACAAATGGAATCTGTCCAGAAGGAAGAAGCAGTTAAGGGATGCAGGGACGAAGGAGAAAACTTAGACAGGAGCCGCCAGATCGACGTTTGTCTTCAACATGTGAAGTTCGTGTGTGAAAAGGAGTTACCCCCTTTTTGCTCTCCCTCTTTGCAGTTCAGAAGAGGGGAACTAGTCTTTCTCTTTAGGTGGGGGAGGGGTGGTGGTCTGAATATTAGAGCCTAGCAACTGCCCAGCAAAGAGGCCTCCTGCCCACACCAGGAGCCCCCGTCCTGGGAGAGGCCAGGCCCGTGTGATGGGGATTCCACCACTGAGGACCCCAATCTTGATTCCAGGGTTACCTGGGCCACCTGAGCATGTGTACTTTCCCTGGAGCATTCTGCCTCCCAAGGGAAACCACTCCTCCAGGGGTAGAGGGGCCCAAGGCCCCTGGGTTCCCTCTAAGTGCACAGAGCGAGGCAGGTACTGAAGAGCAGGGGCCTCAGACACACAGCTGGCCACTCTGGCCTCACCTTGGCTCGGGCTCGGGCTCCGCTCCAGCGTTCCCCTCTGAGGCACGGTTTTCCTGTGGGCAGGCTCCACCTCTTCACCGCCCTGGGGCAGAGGTGCAAGGGACACACACGCCGTGATTTTGTTGAGGTTTCTGCCACCTGGAACCCCTTCCCTGGGGCCAGAGAGCCAGAGGCTGTATTTTGACGCAGGTGCCCCCTCCATCTTTGAAGCACCCCCATTTCTCTTCGTGTGAAGTGCCAGAGGGCGTGAACCCCGTGGATGTGACTCAGCCAGCAGCCCTCCTAAGACACAGAATCGTGTTGTTGGAAAGAAACCCACAACCCCCTCTTCCCCAAATAACATTCTGAAATTGCTGGGAGACTTTTTTTTCAAATTTTAATAGTCTGATGACACCAAAATTTGGAAAGTTTTTCTGGTTTCCTGGTGTCCTGGAGCTACCTCTGTGCATCAGAGGCTGCAGCAGGAGGACTGGGGAGATGGGCTGCAGGGGAAGTCGTGCCCCAGTACTCACATGCTGAGTGTTCGCGTGTGTGCTGCCCTTGCTTGGTGCCAGGGTCTCCCCAAGGACAGACAGACACGGTCTCTGCCCCGTCCCTTTCAGACCAGCACAGCACAGCGGTTGGCCCAGCATCGTTCCATCAGGTTGTCCCGCTGAGAGAGTCTGAGGACCAAAGGGGCCGAGCCTTGACTCCCTTCCTGTGAAATGCAGGGTTACCTGCCACCACCCAGGGTTTTGTTTCTGGCTGAAATTTTACTGGCTCCATTTTTTTGTTTTTCTGCTCCTTTCAAACTTCCAGAAGAGTTGCAAGACTAGTGCAAAGAACTCCCATGTGCCAGACACACCAGTTGTAACATTTCCCTCGTGTGCTTCATCTTTTTCTCTATTGTGCATGCCTAAGCGCGCACACACTGAACAGTATGAGAATAAACTGTAGATTCTGCCCTTTGACTCCTAAATACCTAAGAACAGGACATGCTCTCCCATAACCCACAGAGCAGCCACCAAGTACAGGGAGTCTCACACTGATGTGATGCTGTCTTTTCAGGTGCCATCCCTACGCAGGTTTCTCCCAAGTTAGCCACCGTGTTTGTTTGTTTTTAATCCTCACTCGAGGATATTTTTCTATTTATCTTCAGATAGAGTGGGAGAGAGGGAGAGAGAGAAACATCGATGTGAGAGAGACACATTGACTGGATGCCTCCCGCACGACCCCTACCAGGGCTGGGGACACATCACGACCGAGGTACATGCCCTCGACTGGAATTGAACCCGCGACTCTTTGCTTTGCCAGCCGACACTCTAACCGCTGAGCCAAACTGGCCAGGACAGCCATCGTGTTCTTTATCGCCATTTTTGTTCTCTGATTTAGGATCCAGTCCAGGTCACAAGATGTGCTTGGTCACATCTCCTTAGTTTCCTTCCATCTATACCAGTTCCTTGGCCTTTACTTATCTCCCATGACACTGACATGCTTTTGAAGGGTACAAGCCAGTGTGGGTCTGTCTGGTGTTTCCTCGGGAACAGATTCAGGTTCTGCCTTAATGGCAAAACAAACAAACAAACAAAAAAAAACCCACAGCAGTGATGCTGTGTCCTTGCCAGTGTGTCATATCTGGAGGCATGTGATCTCCATTTGTCCTGTTATTGGTACAACTTGGTTTTTGATTAGCTAAAAATATGCAAATGAATTCCTGAAACTTCTCAAAAGCCACATGGAAACCTGGCCGGTGTGGCTCAGTGGACTGAGCATCGTCCCATGGACTAAGAGGTCCTGGTTTGATTCCTGGTCAGGGCACATGCCCAGGTTGCAGGCTCGATCCCCAGTAGGGGGTGTTCAGGAGGCAGCCGATGGATGTTTCTCACATTGATGTTTCTGCCTCTCTCTAAAAAATCAATTTAAAAATATATATATATATTTTAAAAGCCACGTGGGAGATGTGAGCTCCTTGGGAAAGGGCGGGAGAAGTACTGGAAGGGCTTCTCCTCCCATAGACCCTATCAGTTGGCCAGTGCTGCTGCCACGTGGGTGGCTTAGACAACAGCACTCCATTTCCTCACAGTTCCCTTGGCTGGAAGTCCAAGATGAAGGTGTCAGCAGGTCTGGTCTCTCCTTGGCTTATGGTCTCCCTGTGTCCTCACGTGGTCGCCCCTCTGTGCCTGTCTGTGTCCTAATCTCTTAAGGATACCAGTCCTATTGGGTTAGAGCTCACGTTCTCCGCCTCATTTTACCTAATCACCTCTTTAGGCCTTGTCTCTAAAAACAGCTCCACTCTGGGGTGCTGGATGTCAGGGCTTCAGCGCATGAAGTTTTAAAAGGACGAAATTCACTTGGGACATTTCCTCAGGACTTGGCTGAATGGTCACCTGTTCAGAGAGGCTGTCATGGCCACATTACTTCAAGCAGCCCATCACCCTCAACCCCTCCCCTCCTTTCAGCCATTTGCTATCTTAATGTGTTTGTTCACTTATTTATTTATCGTGTCTCCTGCGAGCTGGTCGCACTGTGAGTGATTCACGGCCGTGGTGGCCGTGCCTGAAGCAGGGCCCCGTTTGGGTGGGAGGCGCTCATGGACCAGCGGAGGAGGGAGAAGGCAGGGCTCTGGGACTGTGATGCTGACGAGGAAGAACCTGGCCTTAGGGACGCAGCAACTTGGCCGGGTGATCAGCGTGGTGGGGCCAGGCAGGCAACCCCCCCAGGCTTGGGGAGGGCAAGGGCTGACCCCAGTGACCCTCCCACTGCAGCTGAACAGGGTCCCCTCCAGCTGCTGCTTTTCCTTGGTGCCCAGGCCCTCTGTGCAGCCCTGATTGGGAGCAGGGCCAGGAGACCGAGCAGTGCCAAGGGTGCCTGGCTTACCCAGCGTCTGGGATTGTCATCTGAAGAAACATGAAATTCAATATAAATGCAAATGTGTATAGAAACAAAATTCAGGTTCTGCACAGAACAAACACGATGATCCATGAAAGCCTTAGGCTTCTAGTTCCTGGCCGGCTGCAGTGGGAGGGTCACTGGGGTCTGCCCGTCCCTCCCCAGGCCTGGGTTTGCTGGTGCGATATGAGAGCTGGTTCCCCTAGCTGCCTCTAAAGACGACCTGGGGCTCAGAGATGGCCATGGCAGCACACACGCAGGGACGTTGTTACTCAGTTCAGTGTCTGAGCTGCAGATTATGTGGGGAGAACCTCTATTTATGTCTTTGGTTTGACAAAGGCCAAACAAAATACCTCTCGCCTTGCAGCCGGCAGCCAGCAGGTCTCCCACCTGTCAAGTGTACAGTGTGACGTCTGGGCCGGACTCATATTTGAGCACTGGGAGCCCCTCCAAGGGTAGCTAGATTACATGTTCCTTATGTGTCTAAAGGGATCAGATGTGAATGGAGCATCGTACCCACCATAGGCGTGGGGGGCTGACCTCCTTGTCCACTGTGGTCTACAGCCAGAATAAGATGGTGCCACTCCATCCCACCTACATTGAGACCTTTGTCTGCATTCACTGACAGCCTTGAACTTTAGCTGTTGCCAGTGGTACCCTTTAAGTGAGTCAGGTGGGAGGAATAAGCAGCTGTGGAAGGAACCGTTACCTGCTCGGGGCGTGAGTCATTCTCATGTCGCTGTGGGAGAGGGAAGCAGGCTGGGTGTGTGGGGAGGGGAGGCAAGTGGGAGGCAGCGGCACGGAGATGCCGAGGTGCCCGCAGCTCTGCGCTGCCTGTTTGCACCTGGTTTCTCCAGAGCTGTGCACAGAAGCTCGTTTCTCAGAAAGGTGGGGAGCAATGGCACCTGTCTCACACCTGTCCCACACTCTCTCCCACCCGCAGGCCAGCCAGCTGGGTGTGTACCGGGCCTTTGTGGACAACTACGGAGTTGCCATGGAAATGGCTGAGAAGTGCTGTCAGGCCAATGCGCAGTTTGCAGAAATCTCTGAGGTACGCATGACGCTGTTTAGACAAGTGCACCTCCACCTCCTACAGGCGGGCCATGGGCTGGTCGTTGGTGCCCTATTACCCAGGAGAATAAGATGAACAAAACTCACCAAACCAAGGTTGGTCATAAGTTTCAGCCGTTTCCAGATGCCTCTGGGTTGGCACTGTCAGCCCTGTGTAGGGACACTGTTGTAAGCAGACAAGGAGCAGCTCAGATTCCTGCCTTCCCCAGGGACAGGGCCCAGTTCTGGGGCTCAAGCGGGTCCCCTGCACAGGTGCTCTGTTGTACTGTGTGTAGTGAGGGGTGTCCACAGTTCTGCCCTGTTAACAGAGATCTGGACACGAAAGTCATGAGGCCAACTTGGTGCCTTGTCACTGGAGAGCAGGCAGGGAGGCGTCGTGCTGTTCGCTAGCCTGCCAGTGCCCTTGAGAGCTGAGGAAGCAGCTTCTAGCACAGGCAGCGGGCTGGGCTCGCGCCTCTGTAGACCCACGTGGGAGGAAAGCTCCAGGCCCCTGGAGGACGCAGCCTCACACCCTGGGTGCTGGCACAGAGGCCTCGAAAGAGCCCCTCAGATACAAAGAGAACGAGCCGGCTTTCAGGATCTGGCGGCCGCACCAGGACCTGAACCCACAGCCGCTCGCCCCGCCCTTCCCCATCCTGTTTCTGCCACCGTGGCAACTGGGTGACATTTTCTTTCTTCTGGGCCTGTACTCACCCTTGCTTTTTTTTTTTTTTATCCTCACCGGAGGACATTTTTCCATTTTTTGTTCAGGTAGAGCAGGAGGGAGAGAGAGGAACAGAGAGAGAGAGAGAAACATCGATGCGAAAGGAACACATTGAGTGACTGCCACCCGCACAACCGACCAGGGCCGGGGACAAACTGCAACCGAGGTACATGCCCTTAGCGGGAACCGAACCCGGGTCTCTCAGGACCGCAGGCCGACGCTCTAACTGCTGAGCCAAACCGACCAGGGCCTATACTCACCCTTGCTTTTTGATGTGTCCACTCCTCAAAGCTCTGGCTTGCCTTCCCCACCAAATAAGGGTTCTGGGTGGAAAGACCTTCATGTGAGAGGGGCAGCCGTGGAGAGAAATGGAAACGAGAACGTCGGGGCTCTTGGGAGATAATCGCACCCCAACTGCCATACTTGGCTTTGTGCCAAAGGCTTTGTGCCGTTTTATAATTTATCACGTGGAGTGAAGTATCGTGGGTCCTGGCACTTACCGTCTCCTGTGGTGATAACATGTGCCACGTGTTCCTCTGGAGCCCGTGGGGTGCCCCAGTCCCTGCCTGGTGCCGCTGGTAACAGGCTGCACGCACCCAGGGCTCCAGGCTGGCTCCAGCCTTCCCTCCCCAGCTGCCCTGGTTTCACCTGGCGCATTCAGTTCATTCTTTTCCTTAGCTCGTTCAGTTACAAACCCCACACCCCTAGCCAACCGCTGGAATGCTCGCGCGGAATCCAGAGTGACCTTGACAAACGAGGCCTAATTCTCTGAGGGCAGGCTGCCGTTAATTGGGGCCAAGTTTAAGTCAACCAAGACAGGTCTCTACAGAGGAGGGAGGAAGCAGCGGTGCAACGCCTCCCAGGGTCGGTGTAGGATGGCATCGGGCCAGCCAGCCGCCAGCCCTCCATAAGGCTTGTGCCACTGGGCGGCATTCACGTGTCAGAAAAACTGGAGAAACTGGAGCCACCCAGAGAGGGAAATGAAGCCAGAAGCAGTGGAAACGGAGGCCTTGTGGAGGTGTTGGGGGTACGTTCAGGGGTTGGAGTGTGGGGACTGGATGATCGCCTCCGAGGACAAGGCTGGGTGGGGCAGTGGTCCTTGTGTCCTCCCAGGGCTGGTCCTCGGAAATGGGGTGCTGCAGTGTTCGGTTAGACCAGGGTCGCCCCAGCTGGGTTGCGTGGAACGCTAGCTCCCCAGACAGTAGATAGAGTGATGTGGAAAGGGCTTCTGCATCAAGCGAGTTTGGGAAATGGGAGGTTAAAGCAGATTTGAAAGGACTTCCCAGTACTCACGTGTGCTGGGCTGTCTGGGGGCACGTGGTGCGCGGGCTGCTTTCCAGGCGCACTGAGCGCAGACCTGGCTTTTGCAGAGCCTCAGGTTCAGCTCATGCCCTCGCCCTTTGGCAGCTGAGGGAGACGAGTGGAGGAATAATCGCTGTGAGAGGTGGTAGACTGTCACGAAAGGTACCAAGGTGCCTTGTGGAGTCTGGCCCCAGTGAGCCTAGACACCGTCCTTGTCGTCTTGAGAGGTTTCCAGTCAAGAAGTGTGGGAAGCGATCTCTGAGCCCCTTCTCATCCCTGGGCTGATTTCTTTGTTCAGAAGCCTAGAGCTGGAATTAACCACAGCGGCTTTACAGAGATGATTGCAGGCACCCAGGGATCTTTCATCCTCATTTCTCTGGGCACCTTGGACCAGATCAGTGATGTCGCCAACACTGATATCAGACATGACCCACCCACTAAAAAGTGCTGTTCTCCTCCAGGAATCTCAGCACCACATTTGTTAGCAAGTACGTTTGCTAAGTCAGGAAGGACTGGGGTGGCGGTTGAACAGATGTGAGTCTCAGGGGAGCCCCCGCCATCTCCAAAGGTGTGTTCTTCCAACCCAGCAGCCCCTGCGCACTGCTTAACTCCAGGAAAGCAGTTCCGTGCGTTTAAGGCCACTGCAGTTTGCCTTGGTCTGTAGGATTCTCAGTGTTTGAGCTTCTCCACCAGGGATGATTTTGTCCCCAAGAGACACTTAGCAATGGCTGGGGATATTTTTGATTATCACAACAGGAGGAGGGCAGTGCTATTGCACCCACAGGTAGAGGTCAAGGTTGCTGCTAACCCAAAGTTTTATTGGTCCTGGGATTGAGAAACTGTTGTAGGTACCCCGGCCGGTGTGGCTCAGTGGTTGAGCATCGACCCATGCACCAAAAGGTCGCTGGTTCGATTCCCGGTCAGGGCACATGCCCAGTTGTAGGACAAATCCCCAGGGGGTAGCATGCTGGAAGCAGCCAATCAGTGTTCTCTCTCATTGATGTTTCTATCTCTCTCTCCCTCTCCCTTCCTCTCTCTCTAAAATCAATAAAGAAAAAAAAATTTTTTTTAAAAGGAAACAGTCCTAGGTCAACCACAGCATCCAGAACACATCGTGTGCTTAGCATGCCCTGTGTTTCTGTCCTGTGGCCCAGGACACACCCCCGTGGCGTGCCGCATTTGCGGTTCTTTGTGGTGAGAGAAGGTTGAGATTTCTGCTGACAGTTTGACTGTGGGACTCCCTGCCACATCAAAGCTGCTTGAGTTGTCCCCTGTGAAAGTGTGCATTTTTTTCTTTTCAGAACCTGAAAGCCAGAAGCAACAAGGATGCCAAGGACCAGACGACCAAGAACTCCTTGGAAAGTGAGTTCTCTGAGCCGAGCCTCTTTGTGTCCCTATGGGGGTGGCCGCTGCAAGCAGACGGAGCATTTGTGGAAAAGCAGACATGGTGCCCGCGGGGTCATCCTCTGGCACCTTTGCTGCTCCAGACTTGCAGTGGTGATGTTGGGGACAAGGAAGGAGCAGCTGGGCATGGCAGGGTGGGGAGGATGAGGTCAGGACAGCTGGCCACCAATAGTCACAAACAGGAAAAGTGGTAAGTATTAGCAGATATCCACAAACCAGGCACTGCCAGGCATTAAAAATAGCATTGTGTTGCCCCAATAGCCCGTAAGGATTTTATTTTTCTTTCTTTTGGATGACAAAACAGGTTTAGAACAGATGTAACCCACGGAGAATGCAGGTCCCTGGTGGCTGGACAGAGGGTGAAGCCAGAGCTCCCAGGCCTGTGTACTCAGCCTTCTCTCTGGGGGGAAGAGGTGTCAGGAACGATAGGTCACTTCTCACTTCCAGTTGTTAGGATAGCGGAAAGTGACACTCACAGAGAACTGCAGACGTGCCTCTGGTGCCCAGAGCGTCGCCATGCTATGCCTCTGTTTTCCTGTCTGTAAAATGGGGATAGTAGTGTACTCTGTACACACGTCATGGGGTCACGTGAGGATCAGCACATCTCAGCATCTGTGCCCTCAGTGGGCCATCCTGACCACGGAGAAGTGGGGACAACCGATGCTGTCCCGGGCTCCTGTGCTGCTGGAGTCCAGGTGTGTCCACCTGTAACGACGGGAGCTGTGCCAGCATCTGAGTTGGTCCCTGTTTGTCTCCCGCGGGACCCTCAGCTGGAGAGGTCTCCCGCTGGGGTTGAGAGCCTCGCTGGCCCATCCTCACCAGGGTGCTGCAGGCTCCCCAACCCAAGAGGAGGGTCATTGACAATAAGCATTTCAGCATTTGCTACTGAGTCAGCCACGTAGGCTCGGGTTCTGACCAGCCACTCTGCCTCCACATTAATGGCACAGACTGAAGGCTCACAGCCGTGGAGCCCAGCCTTCTGGTACTCGGGGTTTGCCCTTGTTACCGAGCAGAGGGGTCCCTGGGTTTGCCCTCATCATCGGGGAGATGGGGCTGCTCCCTCTAGCTGAGCCCTTGCAGCGAGGATAATCAGGCGGGGGGTCTGGGTCTGCTTTCTCCACGTGTGGCCATCTCTCCGCAGCCCTGCTCTACAAGCCTGTGGACCGGGTGACGAGAAGCACGCTGGTTCTGCATGTGAGTCCCTGCGCCCGGGGCCTTCTCACCCTGGGGTTCTTGGCTTCTGCTGTCCTTCAGCTGACACTGATGTTTATCAGTTGCCCACCTACTCCTCTTTTTCTGCTACTTTCCTTCATTGAAGATGCAGAAATGAGGTGTCCCTGCCATCCTGGGGCTCACAGGGAGATGATGGGGGAACAGAGCAGGCTCTCTAGGTACCCTGGGTGCTGTCATGGGAGCGGGTGCAGGGCGGGGTTGTCCTGTCTCATGGGAAGGGCCTTGCTGTCACAGTGTGTGAGCTGGGCCTCCAGGTTGGTCAGGGTGGGGCGCAGGTGGCAGGTGCATTCCGGGGCCTCGGGGGTGACCACCGCCGCCTCTCAGCCTAGGGCTAGGGAAGGGGTACATGGGGAGGCCCGGTCCTGGTGGGGCTGTTCCTGAAGGCAGTGGATAGTCCTGAAGGAGTTGTCTTAATACAGAGAAAAAAACCTGAAAACAGAAATAGCCCCTAATCCTGCTGTCCGGGTGATTCTCTTCACATAGTTGGAGCAGGTTGTTCATGCGTTATTTTTCCTGATTTACAACCAGGTTGCAGAAATCTTTCCCACTTCCTCCCTGCAGGGGAGCCGCCACCACGAGATGGGTGCGCACGCCAGCACTCCTGTGGACATGCTTTTAATTACACAAAAGGTGTCGTGTGGACAATTGTCATTCCACACTCTGCTTTCTCTCCCTTAATATCATGTCATGGGGATTGTCCAGCTTCGGCTTGAACAGCTCCGCCTCATTCTCTTTTAAACCGCATGGACGTTTCATACTTTCTTACCATCCTCCAGTTAAGAGGTTTTGAGAGAGAGATGAAATGGGTTTCTAGTTCGGAAGGATGTGGTGGGTGGCTCGTCAGAGTCTCGGAGACCCTGCATGGTGTCCCCTCACCAAGATTAGCCCAGGCCTGCAGAGCTGAGTGTCCCAACAGGGAAAAGCTGGAGCTGCCCGGGAGCGGTGTGGGGCTGGCCTTCCTCCATGCCTCTTCCGTCTCCTCTGTGCAAAGATTTGGGAGCTAGGGGATTTTGTTTCTCTGAACCAGGGAGGTGTTGACCTTGAGGACAAATCACATGCATTCCTAGTGGAGAAGGAGTCAATACTCCCGTCTCGATTCTTAGGCTCTTATCTAGAAGAGGAGGAGCTGGGGAGGCTGAGGGTTTTTTCCTGACCTTGCACTGCCCAGCGGTTCTGGACCAGGACCAATTCTGCCCCCTAGGGGACATGCTATGATGTCTGGAGACATGTTTGGTTGTCACAGCTACAGATGAGGAGGTGCTGCTGGCATCTAGTAGGTAGAGGCTGGGATGGTGCTAACTGTGCACGGGGCAACCCTCTACCACAAAGAATCATTCGGCCCAGAATGTCTCCAATGCCAAGGTGGAGAAAGCCCGCCCTGGACCCTGAGTGTGGAGCCTGTCTTGGCAGCGTGCAAACAGCCTGGGCTGTGGGAATGCTGTTTGGGGCCTGCGTCCCAGGTGCTTGCACAGCGCCGCCACGTAGCTCAGGCCCGAGTGAGAGGTGGCAGCGATGCCTGGAGAGCCGGTGCCCTGAATCACACCCAGTGTGTATCTGCGGTTTGCACACAGGTGGGTGCCCATGCCTCATACTCTCTAACTCGAGTCCTCTCGCCCCGATGCAGGACTTGCTGAAACACACTCCCCCCAGCCACCCCGACCACCCTCTGCTGCAGGACGCCCTTCGCATCTCACAGAACTTCCTGTCCAGCATCAACGAGGAGATCACGCCCCGGCGGCAGTCCATGACCGTGAAGAAAGGCGAGGTAAGTGCAGCCGGGGTGGTCGGGATCGGCCCAGCGCGCCTGAGCTGAGGACGCGGGGTCCTCTCTGGTCCTCAGCAACTGTCCCTGGACAGTTCAGCCGAACACAGGAAATGCATCGCCTCTTGGGATCCCTGACCCCGGAAGGGTAAAACCCAGTGCTGTGGGTAGGGCATCAACGTGGGGGTTCACAGCGCATGCCTCACTCGGCCGCCTCTCTTTTTCTATCATGGTGGGTTATACCCTTTCTTTTCCCCATACTTTGCCAGCTCAGGGTCCCTGTTAAGGAGACGGGTGAGAAGGGGGATGGCATGCAGTCTGCCTGGAACCACCTAGTTTCTCCTGAGTGTTCTTTTATTAAAGAACAGTTCTTGCTGGGTTTAAGGCTTTAAATGGGAAAGAAAGGGAGGCATGTGCGGTTTGGATTTGTGACATCAAGAACATGGGCATGTCGTCTCCACCAAGCACATTCTCCTTCGCCTTCCTCTTCCCTCACTAGCAGCAAGCCCTGGTCTTCATCTCCCTGCACGTCATTGACAAGAGGGTGTAGAACAGAGGGGCTCGGAATGTACTGGCCCGGCCTGCCCAGTGGTCTCTGCCCCTTCCTGGGAGCAGCCCAGCGTCGTGCCAGGCAGGTGCCATCCCTGGTGGGCGGCGTGTGTGAGACAGCAGAGGTGTGCCGGGCAGGGAGCCGGCCTCCGTCGTGAGCATCCTGTCAGCAGCACTAGGGCGAGGGTTCCTGGCCCAGGCAGCACGCGGGCTGGCAGTGAACCTGCTGGAGCTGCGCTGAGAACCACTTCCTCCTCTTTCTTGTGGTTCGTGTGCCAGGCGCTGGGTGTGGGGCTGGTGGGCAGGTCGCTCTCCATCCCATTCTCCCCATACCTCTCCAGGAAGTGGCTCCCTGCATGCTGATCGGAAAGCTCCCAGGTACCCAGAGTCTTACCAGGCCTGACGGTGAGCGAATGGCTTGGCCACATGTTTCCAGGAAGAGCCGTGGAGGAGGGAGATGTCCCCTCTACTCTCCTCGCTGGCCCTGAATGCAGGCTGTTGTGGGGATCCAATCCCAGCATCACCCCCGTCCCACCCACTGGGCGGCCTGGAGGCTGTGTCACCCCTAACCTGTTTCTCGTCTTCACACCAGAACAGGAACATGGCCCCACCATGCTGGGTGCCTGGGTACCTGAGGGGGCACAGGTTATGGAGAGAGCCCCACCAGCCAGCACTTGGTGGCAGTCCTGGCTGTTTTGTGTTAGCTCTTTGGCAGTCTCCAAGCCTGTGGAAGGCAGAATGGGTCCCCAGCACCTCCCAGGTTCCACACCCAATGGCAGGAACCTGAAGGGTGAGGTTCAGATCTCATTCCTAGAGCAAGAGTGGGGCCCTGGTTCACCCCCAGGCTCAGGGACATCAAAGTGGAGCAAAGCTTTGGCCTCCCCTGTCGGCGCTTCACCCAGATCTGACCGAACGTGGGATCTGCCCCTGTCAGGACTCCTTACGCCAGTTGGATTGGTACCTGGCTCACCCTTCCCTCCTGGGGTGCCCGCTCTTTCTCTTTTGCTGACTGTTTTTCCCAGAGTGCTGACCTTCTGGGAAGCAAAAGTGCGAGTCCTTTTTCTCCCTCTGGCTTTTCTTAGTGCTGTGTGCCCCACCCCGCCTCACTCCACCCCTCCCTATCTCTGACGGCCTGAGAGAAATGCCTCCTTGGATCCTTGGAGGAAGCTGCCTTAGGGAACTGACGGGAATCAGATATTGCCTGGCAGCTCGCCCTTGTCCGTACTTTATCACGGGCCTCCTTCCCTGCTGACCCACAGCTGGGGCCTCAGGGACACTGAGCAGAAAGCGTGTAGAGGCCAGGTGCTTCCTGGGTCAGGAGCTTTTTTCTGCACCCACCCCCGCCACTACCCCAGCAACGCCTGGCCTTGTTGGCCTCAGTGATGTTTGCTCAACAAGGGTATCACTTGGGTACCTGAGCTTTTCGCCCATCTGGTGCACAGTCAGGGAGGTGCTGGCTGCACCAGGATGGCAGGCAGATGCGCACGCGCATTCATGCTCCGCCCCCACTCCAAGGGCAGACCTCACTCATTGACCGGCTTGCAGCCCGAGCATCCTCCTCGGTGTACCCTTCCGGGTGATCCAAGCCAGTTCACAGCCCCACTGCGTAGAGAGGATGCCAGACAGGTGATCCCCGGCCCAGGTTCGGTCCTGCCACCACGTACCAGCTGTATTGATTTGGGAACACCCTTTTTCTTTGCTGAGTGTCCATACTGAGAGCAGTGACTGCTGCCCACAGCCCCTCCGCAGGGCTCACGCCTGGAGAGGACTGTGTGAAAGCGGGGTGACGGGAGACTGCCCTCACCTCCCCAGCGAGGAGAGACTGCAGGTCCCTGGGACGAGTGAGAGCTACCGGCTGCTTCCTTTCCGGATTTGCAGCTGGGGAGGGCCTGAGCTTTGGAAACACCTGTTTATTCCCATGTGCTCCTGTCTAAGTTTGGCGAGTGACGCTGTGTATCAGGCTTCCAGAGGGAGAAGGGAGCTGCTTCTGTGTTACCATGACACTGTGAGAGCTCGGCGGTGGTCTCCGTCTTACAGGTGAGGAAACAGGCGCCCATAGTTACACAGCCACTAAGCGGCTCAGGCAGGATGTGAAGCCACATGTCCTCTGGTCCCTGCATAAAGAGCTACCTGACGGTAGGTGGCCACAAGGAGGAGGATGTGCCTCTGGCCTGGTGTACCACCCGAGCCTCAGGCACTGAGCGGTACCCTGCCCCCTGCTCTTGCATGTCGACAGGGTTTGGGGGGCTCTGTTCTAGCTGCTCTGGTCGTTTTCTGTGGTGAGGAAAGGTGCTTCCATCAGCCTGGGCATTTGGAGTCACCATCTCCACCTTCTCAGCCTGGGTAAATCAGAGAGGAGGCCCAGCTGATGGCCGAAGGTCCCACAGCCTCTCCAGACACCGCACCCAGAAGGGCAGAGTGGTCCTGAAGGTCTCGCGCACACTTGCTGTTGGATCTCTGTTCGCTGCCTTTTTCTGAGCCGGGAAGGGGGTACCTGTCAGGGGTCAAGGCCCCAGATTGTAGGTCGGGGTGGGACCACCAGCCGTGAGAGTCTGTGCCTTAGGCCTGGGAAGTTCTCACCCCTTGGGACTGCCCCAGGCCCTGAGATAGAGACAGTGTGACACCCAGCCCTCTACGAGGGTCCAGACTCCCTTCGTGAATTTGCCAGTGTCGCAGCTGGGGCCCTGTTTTCCCAGGGCTGGGAGACCCCTCCTGCCCAGTTGCAGGACATTTTCTCTTCTGGCTGCAGGATCTCCGAGGTGGGCTGGGGCTCAGCAGTGAGGCCCAGCTCCTCCTTGGAAGGAGGGCAACTATGACATGGGACCAGGGAAGCTGTGGCGGGCTAATGAGTGACATGCACTGACTCATGGGGCCCCTCGCACAGCCCTCGGAGATGGGGTGCAGCACAAAGTGGGGCTCGGGCCAGGATGCCGCAGGGGCAGTGGGGCTGGCTGGACGTGTCGGGCACCCGTGGACTTGAGGTTTCTCTTAGGAAGATAAGGGTTTGTACAGGGATGTGTGAGGAGGGGCCAGGTGACTGAGTCCATCTGTCAGAGCCCAGAGGGGCCCAGGTGCTCCTCACAGTCAGCCCCCATCCTCTCAGCAGACAGGCAGGTGTGCTGGCTTCCGCGAGTGCCAGGAGACTGGTGGCCTCATGGAGAATGAAGGTGGTGCCTGAGGTGGGACTTCAGATGAACGTGGGAGCCGCAGGACCTGGCAGGGAGAGTCGGTGGGCCATCTGGGAGGTTGAGGGTGGTCAGTGCAGGGACAGTCTGGGTGTTTGACTTGCCAGCAGAGGGGACCCTGCTGAGTCCACTTCTGAGCTGGGCATAGGGCGCCCTCTGCTGATGGTGGCCAGAAGCTCAGCTCTTTTGTATGGAGACAAGGACTGCAGTCCCCACCCCCATGGCTCACCATCCCTCACAGAATTCCTTTGGTCCCGCCTCCTAGGCTGGAAGATCCTCTCCTCTGTACCAGCCCAGGAGGCATCTGTCTGTTCAGTACTTGGGGACCTACCTCAGTATCCCAGAACCCTTCCCAGACCTGCCCCTCCTCCCAAGCAGACCCAGCAGTCCGGTCAGCCCGGGGTCTCCAGCGCTACATGGACGTTTCTCCATGTGCACACACTTTCTTGCTTCCCATGGGTGCCAATGCCAGACGTTCTGTCTGCCCATGGCAGGCGGGGTGAGTGTGGGTGATGATGAGTCATGGCCTTGGCACACCAGCAGCCTTCCTGCCCTTCTACTCATGGTCTCGTAGGCACCGGCACCTCCCAGTTAAATCATCAGCTCTCCTGAGCCAGGGGCCATTGTGAGCCGATTCTGTGTGACAGTGATGTGCAGCCTTTGCACCCCAGAGTATTGGGGGACCCAGCTCAGGCCGTTCTTTCTTCTGGAGGTCACTGCTGCGTAAGCCCCAGAGCCAGGGGCATGGACCTGCCAGGGCACTGGGGGGATGGGAACAAGCGCCTCCTGCTGGGGAAATGTAGGTCTTCGCCTACGGGGGCTGTGGGCCCTTCCCCAGCCATCACAGCAAGGGGCGGGAGTTGCCCTCTCTGGGGGCACTCACTGTGCTGCCTGGGACGGGCTGAGGAGGTCCCTGAGGCTCAGGTTTCTCATCTGCAAAACGAGCACGAGGTCCTGCCCAGGGGTGTGGTGGGGATCCTACAGATGATCAGGCCATGAGCTCGCACAGCACACCTGGAGTGTGCGTGGGGAGTGCAGCCATATCAGCCTCTCCTCCTGCCTCCTTGTCTTCTCCCTGGCACAGTGCTGACCCAAATGAGGTGCCAGGCACTATTTGTCATGTGAATTACCGATTTGCCCTCATGTGTTCAGTCAGCAACCCTTGGGGCTGTGTGAGCCAGGGGACCGTCCCTTGTCTTTCCGATGAAGTGCAGAGTTGCTGAGGCACATGTTGGAGGCTGATGTCTCTAGTCCCCCTGCTCATTCAAGGTCCCGTGGCCCCAGGGAAGGCCACCTGGGGGACAGCCAGGCAGCCTGAACTGCCCACCTCAGGCTACAGGTGTCCAGGCAGGCATCGAGATGTAACCCCTATGTGGGCCCCCACACATCAGTGGGTACTAACGTCTGGAGGCCTGGAATGTGGGTCCCAGCGGTGGGGCCCCACCTGGCCTCCTGCTGCCCTCAGATCCAGGCCCGGCCCTTAGGTGACCACCTTGGCTGCCCCCTCTCAGTGCATCCAGCCTGCCTCCTGCCTACTCACCAGGCTGCCCTATCTTTGTCCAAGTGCCAGGCTCTTCTCACTGTGGGGCATGCTGTCACGGTCCTTCTGCAGGAATGTCACCTCCTTCACAGGGCTGGCCTCTTGCCCATTCTGGGTTTCAGAGTCATAGGTTACTCTGCTTAGAGGGTTCTTCTGCCATCATTTCACAGCAGACTGTTGACTTGGCCGTAACATGCCCTCCCCGGCCTCCCGACCAATAGCCATCACCCATCCACTTGTCCTCTTTGTTGAGCAAAGAAGAACTAACGTGGCATGTGTGTTCTCGGGCCGACGAGATGGTGGGAACACTCTGGAAAGTGGGTCTGAGGGTTGGAGAGGAGGGAGTGAAGGCTGCTGCCCTAACTTGAGCCCCTGACCCACCCACCCTGCAGCACAGGCAGCTGCTGAAGGACAGCTTCATGGTGGAGCTGGTGGAGGGAGCCCGCAAGCTGCGCCATGTCTTCCTGTTCACTGACCTGCTCCTCTGCACCAAGCTCAAGAAGCAGAGCGGAGGGTGAGTGACCGCAGCCCTTGGCCCCCCAGGAGGGGGAGTCTCTGGGGGGCACAGAGTTGGTTCCACATATAGAGGAAACCTAGTTTTATTTTTTTCTTTCAATGTGACCCTTAAGAGGTCAATCACTATGTGGCCAGGTGTTCTCTTTAAGCTACTTTCTGTTTCCAGCTGGATGCGATGCCAGGCTTAGGGTCAGAGGTCATCATTGACACTCTGGGGACATTCTGGGTCAGTCAGTGATGAGGCTATTGACTCCTTCAGTGAAGGGAACTGGACTATGACTTCAGGTCCTATTGGAGGACTGTTGTGTCGTGACCGGGAAGTGTGAGTGACAGATCAGGGGCTGCAGGGTGTGGTGCAGGCTGGCCGGTGGTGGGGCGGGGGGTGAGGGGGATTGCCCCTCCCTGCCCTTGACAGGCTTCACGAGATGATGGCTGCACTTTGTCTCCACAAACCTGGTGATAGTTTCTAAGTTATTTTCAACATAGACCTGAAGACCCCCCACAACCTCCTCAGGGATCAGACCACCCAGCTGGTACAGGCTGGAATGGAGGAAGGAAGGTCACGCTGGGAAAGACCAGACCTGGGCTCTTTCCCACATTCTGCCATTGCTGCGCTGGGTGGATTTAATCCTTCAACTCAGAAAAGAGCCTCAGTTTTCCCAGATGTCAAGGCCAGGGATTACCCTGGGTGTCTCTGCCACCCCACAAACTATGGCTCTGGGGGCATCTGCAGGTCCTGCCCAGATGGTCGTCGGGTGGCCTTAGTGTGCTCCCACATTGCAGAGTCTAAACTGCCACCATCAGGGTGGATACGGTGAGTCAGGGCTTCTCAGAGCCCTTGGGGCCTGTCACACATGCCCATTTCCAGGAGTCTCCGAGTCTGGGTCATTAGTGTCTGCCGTTGGCCTTATGCCAGCCTGTCACATAGACCACAGGCTGGGTTTCAGGTTGGGTAAACTGTGCACGACCATAAACTTAGGGTTCTCCAGCTTTTGAAAGCAGCGATGTGAGCAAAGGAAGATGGTCAGCGTGTTAACATGCTCCTTCCCTCACCCAGCAAAACCCAGCAGTATGACTGCAAGTGGTACATCCCACTCACGGATCTCAGCTTCCAGACAGTGGACGAGTCTGAGGCCGCGCCCAACATCCCCCTGGTGCTGGATGAGGAGCTGGATGCCATGAAGATCAAGATCTCCCAGATCAAGAGTGATATCCAGAGGGAGAAGGTGAGGAGGGAGGAGGCCGGGTTCTGCAGCTGGAGTGGGCAGCAGACCCTTGCACAGGGGCCGCTGGGCAAGCTCTGCTGGGCATCTGACCCCGCTTCTGGTTTCTGGGGCATGTAGGACATCCCTGTCCGGCTTAGAGCCTTCCCGGATATGGAGTGCAAGAGACACCCAGCTGCCATTGTAGGGAGATAGTCCCAGGTGGGGGGGTGGCCCCTCCACGTGTCCTGGACGGTCCCAGGCAGACCCCTGGTTGTTTCTGGAGAGGGTTAGAAGACTTCAGGAACAGTGAGGATGAGCCCCTCACATGTAGGTTCAGCCCAGGCCAGAGCAGGTGCCATGCAGTGGCCACAAATGAGATGGGTCCAGGGACACTCGGCTGAGGTGGGCACAGCAGGACAGGTGTCCTCACTCCTCACCCACCTGCCAGCCTGCTGCACCAGAAACCCGGCAGGTTGAGGAAAGCGTGGGGAGATGGTGAGAACACAGAGGACCTGCGGCCTCCAGGGCAGTGCCCTGAGGCAGAGGGGAAGCCGGGGCCATGTCCTCAGAGCTGTCACGCCCTGTGCGCTGCCACCACTGCACTCGTCTGCATTGTGACCTTCTAGTGTCAGGCATGGTCTCCCCGGGGTGGAGGGGCTTCAGGAGGGAGGCACAGGGCAGGCAGGGTGTTCCCAACCGGTCCTGGGGATGCATCTGGCCCCCCATTAGGAAGGACCCTCACAAACACTCCCAGGGGGCCTGATGCTGAAACATGGGCAGATCCAGGAGTGGGGAGGGGCCCTCGGGGTCACAGTAGCCATTGTCCAGGTTTGAAGGAATGAAAAGAAGGGAGGTTTGTGACAGTCTCTCCTCTGCCCTCATGAGGGGGAAGGGCTTACTTCCTTTAAGAAAGGTTGGCGAGCACATCCAGCAGCCTTGCCGGCCTTGGCCCTGGAGCCGGCAGCCACTGACCGGCTGTGCTGTGCCGAGCTGCAGGTGGCATTCCCGGCGAGCCTTGGGAGGGGGCGACTAGCTGAGCGGGAACAGGTGTTACTGGCACCCAGGATGGAAGTGTGACTGCAGCTCTCCCAACAGAGAGCGAACAAGGGCAGCAAGGTCATCGAGAGGCTGAAGAAGAAGCTGTCAGAGCAGGAATCGCTGCTCCTGCTCATGTCTCCCAGCATGGCCTTCAGGGTTCACAATCGCAACGGCAAGGTCAGTCCCCACTGCGGTCTCGCTCTGCTGGCCAGGCCCCCTCCGCTTCTCAGGCAAACCCTCCTGGTCCTGGGCTCCCTCCCCTCCATCGGGGCTATCTCACAGTGCTATGCCAGGATCCACCCACCCAGCATGTGGCAACCGTGGTCCCTGGCTCCCGTGTGGCCTTTGCAGTGGCAGCCCTTTGCCCCTGGGGAGCCTTCCCAAGCTAGGAGAGGCTTGTCCTGCCTGGCACACACAGGCGCACACATCCCTCTGACCAATGCTTTAGGCCGTAGCCCCCAGGCTGGCTGGCAGCTGGTTCAGCCCCTACAGCCTGGAGGTGAGGGAGTCTAAATGGGGCATGGGGCTTGCACACTTGGGCAGACCTAGTCCTTGGTAGGGAGATGCTATCTGGAAACTTTAGGCCAAAGGGGCACCTTCTCCCCGGAGCCTGGCTCCTGGTGCCGTCTGCAGCCTAGGCCTCTCCCACCATGTGATGGGCATCACACGAACCTGTCAGCATGCAGCGGGGCTCTACAGGAGCCCTTTCTCTGGGTCACAGCACAGGGCTTGAGGGTTAGATGCAGATGTTCGGGACATCGTCACCTCTGCAGATTCTCACCTGGTAACCTCCTGCGTGGCCCTAAGTTAGGCCACGTCATACCCTGACCCAGCTAGTTCTGGCAGGAAGCCGGTGCCAGAGGCAGTCCTGAACAGAGCACGGGGACTGTGGCACACAGCGTGGCTGCCATGAAGGGCAGAGGGTGCCAGAAGCCTCAGGCTGAGCTGTGAGCACACTGCCCACCAGGCCCCAGCCAGCCAGAGGCACAGGTGCTCACGCCTTGGAGGAGTGAGCAGGAGGACAGTGACAGGGACTGCGCTCTGGGCGTGCTGGGTGGCCACTGGGCTGGGGCAGAAATAACTGGGCTGTTCTCCTCGCCCCCAGAGTTACACATTCCTGATTTCATCCGACTATGAGCGCGCCGAGTGGAGAGAGAACATCCGGGAACAGCAGAAGAAGTGTAAGTGGCCTCTGCCAGAGGACTTGTGTTTGGGAACATCACGACTGGATGGTCTCTTGTCCTGTGGTTTCAGACAGGTTTTCCCCGAGTTGGGGAACTCCTCTCTGAGTGGGATGTTCAGTGGAGTTCTAGCTTAGCTCAACTGGAGAGAAACTGTCCTGACAGGGCCCCCTGCGCTCTTTGCTCCCCCTCAGTGGGCTGCCCCCAAATCCCCTGTGCATTGCCCTCACCTGTTCTCTTAGCTTTCCTGGAATCCCCCTCCTGCCTCCAGAACATCCCGACCCTGATCCCTGCCTGTCCCTGTGCCCCCTGTACTCCTGCTGCCTTCCCTCGGGCCTGCCCCCCACTTAGCCCACCCACCTTCCCTGCCCCCAGGCCTTCCCCACACTCCACCACCACCTCACCTCCTTGGCCTCCCTGCTGCTCCCCCCTGGCCTTCCTCTCAGGACTTCCCCATACCCTGGCCACTGATGCCAAAGGGGCCCACTGGGCTGGCTGCACTCCCCTTTCCAAGTGGCCAGCACTTGACCATTCTCAGGATAGGACGTGCACTCCCCTCTGGGACGGCCCCTCCTCTGGGTGCTTCCCTCTGTTTGTAGGCCTTTTCTCCTGAGCTCCGAGCTGCCCCTGCCTGGCGGTCTTCAGGGTGGGAAGGCAGACCCCACCCCAAGTCCTGGGGATGCAGCTTCAGGGGTGTCCTCCTCCACCCCCAGGCATATGATTTGGGATTCCTGAGCCATCCTTGCTAAGAGCTTCTCCAATCTCCCTGTGTGCCATTGTCCCAGAGGGGCCCGATGAGCCATGTCCCAGGTGGCCAGGGACTCCCACAGCCGCAGCCGTCTGGTTCACCCGCTGCAGAGTGCACAGTCTGGAGCTCATCCACTCCTGCCCCGAGCTCCCGCCCCCAGGCTTGTCTGTGCGCCTGTGCTGAGTCCCTGCTTCCAGGGAGGGGTACTCCTGGCAGCTCTGGTGGCCGGTGCCTGTGGCCCTGCCCTGCTCATATCCCAGGGTTTCCTGTTAGAACCAGGGACCATTTGCACATGGCAGCATGTTCCCTGCTCAGCACTGTGAAGAGATCGGGACCTGCATTACCGAAGCAGGGGACAGAGCTGTGCCAGGTGCCCATCTGGGGAGACCCACACAGGAAGCTGCTCCGGGTCCCCATCTCAAATGCCTGTGGCGCCCTGGCTGGGTAGCTCAGTTGGTGTACAGCATCCTCCTGATTAGCCAAGGTTGTGGTTGTGATCCCTGGTCAGGGCACGTACAAGAAGCAACCAATGAATGCGTAAATAAGTATAACAACAAATAGATGTTTCTCTCTCCTCCCCCCTCCTTCTTCTGTCTCACTCTCTGCGAGAGTCAATAATTTTTTAAAAATTTGCCCCAGCGGGTGGCTCAGTTGGTTGGAGTGTTTTTGTCCCATACACCATAAAGGTTGTGGGTACGATTCCCAGTCAGGGCATAATACCTAGGTGGCAGGTTCAATCCCCAGTCGGGGTGTATGGGAGGCAACCAGTTGTTTTATCTCTCTCCCCCTCTCCCTTTCTCTCTCTCTCAAATCAGTAAACGTATCCTCAGGTGAGGATTTAAATAAATAAATAAAATTTAAAAAGAAAGAAAGGGCTGGGGCTGTGCAGCGTTGGCAGCTGACTCCTGTCCGGAAGGGTTATACTAAAATTTCTCCTGCCCTCTGCACCCAGCCTGGGCCCTTGGAGACTATGCCTCGCTCTGTCACTTACCAGTTCCTTTCCTGGGAACAGATTACCCCCTCTTGTCCTGTCCCCTCACCAGGGTGTGCTGAGAGTTCAGTTGGGGGTGGGGGTGGGGTGGCATCAGAAGGTGTCCTTGTCCCTGAGTGTCCTGAAACGTCCGAGAACCTATGCCTACTGTCTTCCACCCTCTCAGGTTTCAAAAGCTTCTCCCTGACGTCTGTGGAGCTGCAGATGCTGACCAACTCGTGTGTCAAACTTCAGACAGTCCACAGCATCCCACTGACCATCAACAAAGAAGGTGGGCCATCCTGCCGAGGGTCGCCGTCCCTTTTGTTAGTCTGTCCCTGGGACCATGAATTTCCATTCCGAAGGAATGTGTGTGCTGCTCAGGGCCGCTGGCCTCTCCCAGGAGTGGGTGGGGCAGGTCAGGAGCTGTTTCTGCCCAGGCAGCCACTGCTAGGTGACTGAGGAGCCCGATAACCTCCCTCATCCTGAGACTCTCCTCAGACTCCTTATGCTCTAGGGCTGGTCCCCACCCCCGGCCCCCCCAGCCCTCCCAGCCAGCAGTGTCCTGTTACACCTTTGATTGTGCTGTGTTTTGCATTGACTGGTTATGTGCTTGTGCACATGTGTGTACACACTCATCCATGTCACACACACCTGTGACCCCTCTCCTGTCCTTATTACATTTTATCTGGTCTGCCTATGTTGTGAAAACAACCAGATCCTATGGTTCCCAAGACAGAGGCGATGGTGGACTGGCTATAGTATCACCTTGCCCCATGCTGGGCAAATGGCTGCTACACGGTGCCCCCTTGAGGGCTGAGTGTAAAGCAAAGCCTGTCACCTGCCTCCCTTTCTTGGGAGGACAGATGTTTACCCTTCTGGTCTCTTGCACAGATGATGAATCTCCTGGGCTCTATGGGTTCCTGAATGTCATTGTCCACTCTGCCACCGGCTTTAAGCAGAGTTCAAGTAAGTACCTGGATTGGGGAGGAAGGCAGCAGGGCACTGAGCCAGAGGATGTGGGGAGCCAGGGAAGTAGCTCAAATTGCCATCAGGCGTCTTTGACTCCTGACCTCTGGAGGTGCTGGTGCCGTTGGTGCGGAGTGTGGGTTGTTTTCCTGGAGTGGACTCCGCCCTTTCCCATACTTGTCTCCAGTCCTCTGAGCTGGTGAGCTGACCCCTGCAGGTGGCTCTTGTAATTGCAGGGGTTGTAGTTTGCCATAGACAGAAAATGCAATGAGGTTTCAGACCAGGATGGTGATGGTCAGCGGCACGTTGGTCCTGATCAGCAGAGTAGCTTTGACTGCTCTGACGAGCTGGATCCTCTCCAACTTCCTCTCCAGGGGGCCTCTCCCAGCTACTCGGGTTGTTGGAGCAGTAAGGTCCAGTCATGGGTCTGCACGGGTATAGCACACACTGCACCTCCCAGTGTGGTACCTCCACCCAGGCTCTCAGAGTCCCTCGTAGGAGGACACCGGGCAGGCACTGTTCTGCTGACCTTTCCCACTGTTGTGACAAAACAAGTAACTCTCAACAAGCCACAGAATAGACGAAGGTATTGAAAACCGTATTTATGAGCTAAGGGACTTGTATCCAGAATACATAAAGAACTCTTACAAGTCAGTACTAAAGAGACAACCCAGTCTAAAAAATGAGCAAAAGATTTAGGTAGAGCTGAGGCTGGGTGGCTCGGTTGGAGCGTTGTCCTGCACACCAAAAGGTTGTGGGTTCGAGGCCCAGTCAGGGCACATACGAGAGGCAACCATTTGACGTTTCTCTCTCTCTCCCTCTCTCTCTTTCTAAAATCAATAAAAACATCCTCAGGTAAAGATTAAAAAAAAAGATTTAGGTAGACACTTCACCCCCCAAAAAACAAGTAGCTGATAGGCACCTGCAAAGATGCTGCTTGTCTTAAGGGGAATGTAAACTGAAACCACAGAGAGCTAACACTTCATACCCACTGGGACAGTGATAATCAACAAGATAAACCGAGTTGGCAGGGAGGTGGAGAAATTGGAACCCTCAGGCGCTGCTGGGGGGCTGTAACATGGTTCAGCCACCTTTGAAAACAGTTTCACAGCTTCTTAAAAAGTTCACCATGACCCAGCAGCCCACTTTAGAGAAGTGAAAACATATGTCCACAGAAAAACTTGGACATGAATGCTAAACATGGTTCATCCATGCCATGGAACACTGCTTGGCAATAAAAAGGAACAAATTGCTGACTCGGGCAACAGAATGCACGAACCTAAAAAAAATTAGGCTAAATGAAAGACGCCAGATGTGAAAGACTGTATATTATATTGTTGTGTGTGCATGAAGTTTCTAGAGAAGGGCAGATATGGAAACAGAAAGCCTGTCGGTGGTTGTCTGGGACTCAGGGTGGGAGGAAGGGTTGACTGCACTTTTGGGTAAGGGCACTCTCCTGAAATGGTGGTGCAGTTGGCACAAGTGTTTAAATTTACTAAAAACTCTCCAGCTACACTTACGATGGATGGATTGTATGGTATGCAAATTATACCTCTGCAGAGCTGCAGCACACATAATTGTTTCCCTGGGCACCTCTTGGGCTGTCCCGTAAATGCTGGTGTGTCCCAGGGTCCCATCAGGCCTGTCTCCCGCATTGCATGCCCTCCCTTCTTCCTGTTCCCGGGGCCTGCCTTCAACAAGGTGATTGACTCCCGGCACTGCCTCCCATACTCACTTCTCTCCTCTGACCTCCCTCGGTCACCTTTCCACCTGTCTCCTCAGTGTCCCATACTGTAAACTCCACAGCCCCAAACTGGACTATTACTTGTCATTGCTAAGTCCTGCCCCAGTGAGAGGCACCACCCTTCACCATGTGATCAGGCCAGAAACCACCATCCTGTTCACTGGTCCCATCCATCAGTGCAGGTTCTTTATCATCTCCAGCCACCTGCCATGCCTTTCATCCAGCCCTCAGCCGGGGCCTCCTCCCTGGTCCTCACCATCAGGCCTTACACCCCATCTCTCCCTCTGCACCCCATGACTCTCCCAGCACATGCCACTTTTAGTGCCCTTTGCCCGATTTACCTGGTAAAACCCCCAGTTCTGTGTCCCCCTGGTAGTGATGGCATAGTCACCTCTGCCCAGCCCTTCAGCCTGGGGCCCTGCTTACCTAGGGGCTTTAGCCAGGGTCTGCTGAGTGACCAAGTGATTGAATGTTCTGAGAGGTGTTGGTTTCCAGCTGCATCTGAGGGGCAGGGTTATCGAGTGAGGGGCTAGTCTGGTTTGGTGTTTTATTTAAAAAAGAAAAAAAAAATCAAGTCTGGCCAGTATGACTCAATGGATTGAACCATCATCCCATGGACTGAGAGGTCTCGTTTCGAGTCCCGGTCAGGGCACATGCCCAGGTTGCGGGCTTGATCCCCAGTAGGGGGCGTGCAGGAAGCAGCGGATTGATGTTTCTCTCCCAGATCGATGTTTCTATCTCTCTCTCCCTTCCTCTCTCTCTAAAAAATCAATTAAAAAAAAAACATATTAGGCCAGCTGGTGTGGCTCAGTGATTGAGCATCAACTCATGCATCAGGAGGTCACCAGTTCAATTCCTGGTCAGGGCACATGCCCAGTTTGTGGGCCTAATCCCCAGTGGGGGGCCATGCAGAAGGCAGCCAATCAGTGTTCTCTCTCATCATTGACTCACTCTCTCTCCCTCTTCCTTCCTCTCTCTCTAAAATCAAGAAAGAAAAAAATTTTAAAAACATTAAAAAAGGAAACGACCATTTTTTCTGATTGCAGCAGTCACGCCTCCTCTTACAGAAAATTGGCTAGTGCGGAACAGTTGGTCACCCTCTTGTGTTGCCCTCCACAGATCTGTACTGCACCCTGGAGGTGGACTCCTTTGGGTATTTTGTGAATAAAGCCAAGACACGAGTTTACAGGGACACGGCTGAGCCCAACTGGAATGAGGTGAGATGCCCCTTCCGCAGTTCTTGGATGCTGACAAAGTCCTTAGAGAGAATCAAAACCCCCAGAGGCTCCCGAGGGCTTCCCCTGAAGGCAACACTGCCAGCATTCCGGGAATCTCCGGGGGTGGGGGGTGGCTTAGCCTAGAGATTTTATCTCCACCTTCCTGAGAATTTCACCCTCCCTCCCCCATTACAAAGAAATGGCCTATTTTACTGGAGAAGTGTTTGGAAAAGAACTTAAAAGGGCCTATTGTGCTGCCTGTGTTATTGCTTAGTGTTTACTTGGTAAGTTTCCATGCATTTTTCCTCTTAAATTGGAATAGGACTTCTGTGACCCTCTTGGATTCCGGAAGCTTGGGTCTCCGCTGTGGGGGCTGGGGTGGAGACCTGGGAGAAAGAGTCTGTGCTTGTCCCAGGTATTGGGTGTGTGGGTTGCTACTCTGTTTTCCTCTACCTGGACAGCTGTTGTGCAACCCACTTACCCAGCTGGCTTGCCTTGAGCCCTTGGGAGGAAAGGATGATGGTAGAGTGGCCAGTCTTGATGAAGTCCCCAGATCCTTGGTAGATACCATTTCCGGGCTTCTGGAGCAGCTGTGGCCCTGAGGGCCTCATGCTTGAGGATGTAGTGGAGGCAGCCGGGCTGCATGGACCTGCCACCCACCTGCTCCCCTGAAGAGGAGGAACCTAAAACCCACCAGGCTGCCTGGTCCCCAACGGGTCCTGTGACTAGTGAGGTGGTGGGATCAGAACCAGGTCTCATTTCTCAGCATCCACTACTCTGATCGTCAGACCTACTGCCTCATTAGGGCAGGGCACAAGAAGCTGATAGAATTCCTGGTCGAATAGCTCTGGGCATCGCTGTAGAAAGGGCTGTGGCTGCTGTGAGGAGGGGGAGGTCCAAGCCAGGCAGATCCATCGCAGAAAGCTTTGCAGAGAGCAAGAAGGTCGTGATCTGACAGGCACCGAGGTGGAGGGTTCTAGACATTGTGCAGAGAGTGCAGGTGCAAGCCAGTGGGGGCATGAGAGACCGAGGCACACGGGTTCCACAGCAGCAGGTCCCCTGGCGACTGCCCTGGCTGTCTGTGCCTTCGGCTTCTCCAGGGGTCTTACCTGTTCCTGGCACACACACCCTCCCCTCCCCATTCCGGCTCAGAAATATCTGCTTTTCTTCCCCCCTCACTTTTCTCCATTTCCCCACCAAGAACCCATGCCCACGAAAGCACTGGTGTGAAATGCAGCATTGACTGAAGGTCTGTGGGATGAGGGAGGAGAAAGTTAACACCACACACCTCCCAGCTGACGACTCAAGCCTTCAGCAGCAGGTCTTTCCTCTTAAGTCCCTCTCTCCCCTCTATCACCTCTTGGATCGATTGTTCTTTCCCTTTCAAATATAGAAAGAGCAGTTTTAGGTCCGCAACAAAATTGAGCATAAAGGACTGAGATTTCTGATCATACCCTCTGCCCCCCAACACGTGCACAGCTTCCCCCACCTTCAACGCACCAGAGTGAAACATTTGTTACAATCAGGGAACACCCGTTGATATATCATTGTCTCCCAAAGTGCGCACATAGAATTTTGGCATTTGTGACCAGCCCCCCAAGCTGATGCAGGCCGTGCGGGAACCCACTGCCCTTTGAGATGCTGGCTTAAGGAGTTCGGATTTGGTTTGAGAATCATTCGGACCTTCCAGAAGCATCTAGACAAGGTCACAAGGTGATGCTCACAGGGATGTAGCGTCTGGAGGTCTTCCTGCCAGGACGGAAGTGAGGACAGTCTCGAGGTCCAGGCCCTGGGGCAGCAAGGAAGCTGTTTGGTGAGGAGCCGCCCTTCCGAGGGCCCCTTCGGCCTGTAGCACTGACCGCACACCCTCGGACCTGCCTGTTAACATGGTACTCTCCTTTCTTGGAGCTGCAGGAGTTTGAGATTGAGCTGGAAGGCTCCCAGACCCTGAGGATTCTGTGCTACGAGAAGTGTTACAACAAAACCAAGATCACTAAGGAGGATGGCGAAAGCACGGACAGGATCATGGGGAAGGGCCAGGTCCAGGTGAGGCTGCCACCCACCTCTGCGTCTGTCTGTCTGTCTGTCTGTGCGAGTGTCTGTGAGGCCTCATCTTGTCCTCTAAGGAATTTCAGTTCAACGTGTCTTTCCAGCTGGGCCTCGGCTCCTCAAGGCAAACGTGTAGGTGGTGCCCTGGGCTGCGGCTGGCAGTTACGAGGCCAGCACTTCTGGGAAAAGCACAAGATCATCAGTTCACCCTAATTGGCGCCCCCTTTCTGGCTTGTAGACCTAGGCTCCAGGGGCTGCAGTGCAGGCACAGGTTCCCCCAAGAGTTGGTATAGAAGCCCCCTGGTTGCCAAGAGTAGCTTCCATAAGTGACCAGCGAGGGGTCCCGAGTCCTCAGGGAAAGTCATCCGGCCCTCAGTCCCTCAGAAGGGACCCACCACAGCTTTCCCACTTCTTGTGGCCACCCCCAGCTAAGCAGCTCCTCCCAGCCCTGCCCTGGAGGCGGGCACTAACTGCTCCCCGCTCCCCTTGGTCCCCGGGGACCCTGAGGAGAGGCCTCCGGGGGAGAGGATTGGGGCGTTCTGGGTGCTGGTGGGAAGACAGGGCTCTCCAGGAAGCGCCACCCCCCTTCCAAAAGGGCAGGAAGTGGGGTGAAATGCCGAACAGCAGGAGTAGTGGAGAGAGCGGGACTCCCCGGAGTGATTCGTCGTCTGGTTGGGCCCACAGGCTCCTCAATCGGACCAGTGTGGCCTCAGTTTGCAATGGTCCAGACCCTGCTCTGCTTCGCCAGGCTCTTGGGAGGTGAATCTGTCTGTTTCCCGCCTGGGAAGCTCATTAGGGATCTCTGGCCTCTGGGGTTCCCGTACCTTGAGACCAAATCGGAAAGCAGAAATGCCCCTCTAACCACCCTGCTCTTGCCCTCATCACCTGCCAACCAGCTCCTGGGAGAGCAGGCTCTTGGCCTCGGCTGTCCCCACAGACAGGACCTGGGGCGGGGCTCTCCTGAGGTCGGGCGAGCCCAGGCTGGTAGGGAAGAGCCGCCTGTGGTGATGTTCCATTGAATGCACTAGGGTCTGAGTCCACGCCGGGGAGCAGAGCCGCAGCCTTGCCCAGCACAGGGAAGGCGGGACCCTTGGCCCCTCTCAGGTGAGGATGGTCCACCAAAGCCAGCTCCTGCTCCACGGCCACGTAGTAGATGTCCTGGACCTGACACCTGCGTTACTCCGATCTTGGGTGAGAGGGGGGCAGTTCCTTCTTGCTCTCCATCAGCCCTAAGTTTCATTGGGCTATTCGCAGGGTCTTGGTAGAGCAGGGCTTCCAAGTGAAGGAAGCAGAAATACAAGGCAGTGTTTTTGTCAGTCTTCCCTCTTCTGGGGTCCTGACCAGAGTTCTCCGTGGCAGCTTGGTGTGCGTCCTGCCTTGACAGATGGGGCATTCATTGTGTGGGGGTGGCTCACACCCGCTGACTCCCCACCTGTCTTGGGATCCAGCCCTGTTCCCACGTAGCTCTTGTTCACCTTCTTGGCTCCACGGGGAATCCCATGAAGTGAGTCAACCACATGGGTGGGCTGATTTGCTCTTGAACTGAGGCAGTTCCCAGATTTCGTTATTCCATGAGCACCCTGGTGCTGGGCTCCTTAGAGAACCGTCATGTTTTTGTACCTGCTAGGTGATGGTGACAGCCATAGCTTGGTCCTCTCAGTTCTTCACCCTCTACCCTACTGCTCGATGACTACTGCTCTCCTCCTCCCTCCTTCCTCTCCATGTTTGTTTGCATCTGCCTGCAGCCTGGGACCCCTCACCCACACCCAGAGCCCCACAGTGAGCCAAGGATGCTGACAGGCTGGGTGCCTGGCTCTTTTTTTCAGCTCAGACTCCAACAACCTTCGGCTTGAATTCTTCACCACTGGGGTCCTGGGGATGTTGGGATTTGAACCAGGGCCTCAGAGTACTGTCCCTGGGTAATGGAGATCTCCGTGGGAAAAGAAAAGAACTCATACTCTTTTTCCTCCTTTGTTGAAATCACGCCCTCTTGGGAAACCCTTTGCCGTGACACTACTGGATATAAGCAAAGTATTTCTTTATGTACAACCTGTGCTCTCCAGTGGTTGGGGTGCTGGGTGCATCGCAGGGCAAAAGAAAGCAGGGAGGTTTTGGGGGCCAGCAGGGGGCGTCTCCCCGAGTGCCTGGTGGTTCTTTGCTCCTTCATGCTGTCATCCCAGCCTGTTTCCCCAGCTGTTGTGCTCTGGGGGATGCTGTCCTGCTGTTCCTTCTAGGAGGACCCAGAAGACCTGTGGGAGAGGGGAAGGGAGCGGAGGACATACACAATTTCTTTTTAAAAGTATTGAAGCCCTGGCCGGTTTGGCTCAGCGGTTGGAGCATCGGCCTGCAGTACAGAGAGACCCGGGTTCGGTTTCCGCTAAGGGCATGTACCTCGGTTGCAGTTTGTCCCAGGCCCTGGTTGGTCGTGCAGGTGGCAACCACTCGATGTGTCCCTTTCACGTCGATGTTTCTGTCTCTCTTTCTCTTCCTCTCTCTCCCTCCCACTCTATTTGAACAAAAAATGGAAAAATGTCCTCGGATGAGGATAAAAAAAAAAAGAAAAAAGCTAAAAAGTATTGAGCAAGGCAGGCTTTTTTCAAAAAATAGACTTTTTATCACCAGTCGTCCAGTTGTAGAATATTTCTATCACTCCAAAACGATTTCTTCATTCCCACTGACAGTCACTTCCTGCCCTTCCCCACCCCCCAGACCCAGGGACTGTCGAGATGGGTGTAGGGAGCCCTGCAGTGGGGTTTTGCCACCAGGAGAAGAGATGGGGCTCGACTCTGAATCCAATAAGGGGATGGGGGGTTTCTAGCCAAGGAGCGGGCTGAGGGGTGTCAGTGGATGGAAGTCAGACAAAGCATCAGGGTGGGTGTGATTCTGGCTGAACGGACCTAATGGGATTCTTGTCAAAGGCAGTCCAGGGGTGATCAGACATCACCTAGGGTGGTAGGATAAAAACGGTAGTCAGTTGTCAAGAGTGATCTGATATCAGGGATGGGGGCGTCCTGGCTAAACTGACTTAGCAGGATTCTTGCTAAAATCAAGCTCACGAGGATGTGCCCAAGGATGAGGTCTAGCTGGAAAACAGCTCGGAGTAGCCCAGCTGGAGTTCAGTAAAGGGGAGACTGTCAACTCCTGTGCCATACCTCCCACCTCCTGTGACCTTGTGCGAGTCATCGTTCCACCGCCCAGACGTGTCCTCACCTGTAAACTGGGGCGGTGGACCTTCGCTGCCAGCAGCAGCTGCTGTCACTATTTGTAGTCATCGCTAGTAGAGAAGGCGCGATTGGCTCTGCTTCAGTGGGAGGGACCAGTGGGACGTCTGGCCCCTGAGCCCTCGTTAGCCAGGAAGGAATCCCAGCGCACTGCAGCGGATGTCTGACTCATGCCACAGGAGGCTGGCTTGGCTCCTGGAGACCTGGGCTCCCAGCGGCTTATTAGTTAACCGGGATCCCCAGGAGGAAGAAGGAAGGAAGGAGGGGGAGGAGAGGTGATGGCGCCCTGCCACCCCAGCCAGTCCTCTTTCTCTCCCAACCCTGTGGATGCTGTTTTGGGATGGGGTGTGCCTGGGGAAGGCCATCATGACTCCTGGGACCCGGCCCTCCTGAGACCAGGCTTTTCCCAGTCATTTCAGGCACCTTCCTGGAGTGCCGTGTGGGCAGGGCCTTCGGTCCTGCACAATTTCCTGCTGCCTGCGGTGTGGTGAGGATGGCATGCCCTACGTCCCCCCAGGTGCTCCCTGTCCCCCGTATGCACTTTGACTCCTAAATTGAGTGGAGAGCTCCGAGAGGGGCAGGGAGAGGTCCAGAGCTGTCCAGGGCGGGAGGAGGCTGGGAGGCCCTGAGGGCGCCTCCAAGGGGCCATGGGATGGAGTCACATCTCTAGCAAAGCTGCTCACACACCTGTCTGGGCAGGAGGTGTCACAATCATCTGGGGAGCTAGTCCCAACTCCCAGGGTTGGGGTGCTGGATCCATCTGGTTTTACACCCCTACATGGTGCTGAGTCACCCCTACCGCCAGCCTGAGTCTCGGGTTTCAGCTCATGTTTCTCAAGTGACTGTCCTGAGTGAGTTGCCAGGTCCCCACTTCCCCTCCTGAAAGATATAGGCTCCATCAGAGGAGTGTGGAGGGCTCCCCGTCCAGAGCCCAGGATAGGTGCCCCGGACCAGAAAGGCAGAAAGGACAAGTGTACAGCAAGAGCACAGCGCTGGGTGCCAACTATCCATTAAAGAGTCACAGACACACAAATCCAAGCCCTTGAGTGTGGACAGGTGAGAGGGCCGGGCAAGGTCCTCTCCGAGCCAGTGCTCAGCCACAGTGAGCCTGCTGGACTGTCAAGGTTATCCCAGTTCATCATCAAGAGTCTATGGTGCCACTCCAGTGATCAAGGGGGCCAGGCCCCAGGGACCTCAAGAACAGGAAGACATCTGCCCCACAGCCCACAGCAGAGAGGTTTGGGAAGGAAAGATACTGCAGGTGTGCTGAGAGCCAAAGCGGGACCTGCCCAGGGTGGCCAGGTGACCTGGATGGTACAGTTCTTTGGGGAGAGTTAGGACAGAGAAGTCTTCACAGTTGGGATCACTGAGTCTGGGCTTCAGGGGGATTTCCCTAGATGGAGCTGTCAGCCTGAACTCCAAGACCAACAAAGGCAAGGACCCATGGTAATGCAGGGGTCTTGGTGTAGCTGGAGGCTGTGTGAGGAGTCCGGTTAGTAACCTGACCAGGTGCTGCCAGGGCAGGATGGGGGCTTAAAGGCGCTGCACAAGTGCCCCAACACATCCTGGGCCAGGGTTGGGGCCAGAATCCGGGAGTAATCTCCAGGGCTGGCAAAGCCTGGGATAGTTGGAGCCTTGCAGCTGGTATGAATTTCTTCCTTCTGTCTTTTCTTTCTCTCGTCTCTGAATTTCCTGTTATAAAATTCCCTCCACCCTGTTTCTTCTACTTACAGAGTAACTTTATATCAAGTCCTAGAATTTTGTCTTCTCCCATTT